ATAGTATAGTCCCATGACTGAAATACAAATAATTAGACGCGTTCGTGAGCAATCGGAGTGGAGCATGGTATTTAACTCGATAACCCCGCGAAGAATCTTTACCACGTCTTGCATAATTTTGTTATACTTATAATAATTATCCAGGTGTTGCATGGCGGTCCTAAGCTTGCGCTGTGAACTCGTAGCTCCGAAAATGCACTTTCGGACCCGAAACGCGTCCGAAACGCCCGAAAGTGGTCCGAAAGTTCAATTTTCGGTTAAAGGGGAGGATCACATAATCCGAAACAGGTCCGAAAACCGGTCCGAAAACCGCTCTAGAGCTGTCAATATGCATGATACACATGATCTCTATGCATCAAATGCATCCTGGACTGTCTAGGATCAGTTTACATATCTTACATCTCAATAATTCTCGATATTGAGAGAGTGCAGGTATTTGGGTGAGTAGTGTAGGGATTTGGGTGAGTAGTGTAGGTATTTGGGTGAAATGGCCAAATTTCCGTCGGGATTAATTCGAGCTCCGTCGCGATTATCCCTACACGCTAAAAGTGGAGGCAGGCCGCGCGTTTTCAAACTCTTCGAAGCCATAAGCTACAAAATCCACCCCTTTAACTTACCTGTATTCATCTTTCAAAACGTACTCTACTCAGGCTATCAAGATACCGGAGATAGTTCAATAAGGATAATCAGAAAGCTGAAAACAAGAGCTTGTTGGGATCACATCATACAAGTGATCATATTGAATAACGAGAAAGAAGGAGAAGAAGAGGAGAAAGAGTGAAAGGTGAAGAAGAAGAAGAAGAAACAGCATTATGGCTTTCCCAATCGAACATAATAACATCACTTTACCTCTACCTGATCCTGAAGCGTATCAACATGATCCTAGAGAATACGCAAGGGAATTGATGAGACGTAAAGATGAGATTGATTCTGAGATGGTGAGTTGGTTCATCTACTTATCGATTCAATCACCACACCTGCTTTTTGATTCACAAGTTTTGTCATAAATGATGTGGACCGATTCACCTATGCTGTCGTTTCAATGATTTTGATTAAATGCACATGTTGAAAGAATGAGGCTGATGGTATAGGATAGATTAAGAGACTTGTTGACTTCTGTAAGTTGAAATTTATCAATATACCACTTCATCACTAGCAAGATAGTTGGTAGAAAGGAAAATTGATATCGTAGCAAGGTATAACTTCCGGTACTTCTTTATTTGATCCAGAGGGGTTTCCGAGGAATGATATTGATGTGGTGAGTGTTTACTTTTCCAACTCCTCTTCTCTCCCTCCTTTTCAGATCTGTTGATCATTCCAACTTGGATATCTCAACAATAACTCTCAAGTCATCACCTCTTCTTTCATTCTTCATTCTAATCCTAATGATCACCTTTAACATCATCCTCTTATCCCTAGCGATTGTATTTGGTGATCAAAAAAAGAAAACTGATGTACAGTACAGTATCAGACATGCCAGAGCATCTTTGATTCGATTAAGGACGGATTTGAATCAAATAAATAATCTACTCGCACCTGCACTTGATGCCGCTTTCTCATCTCCTACAAACCTTCCAAATCAAGATCAACCTCAGACTTTTGTTAATGGATCATCTGGGAATACCCACTCGCATGATTCTCCTGGTAGAATACGAAATACAGAGAACGGAAATAGAGTTAATGGAGATGGAGGGGAAACAAGAAATGGGATGATTAATGGACATGATCCTTCTTTAATCTATCCATGGCCAGAGAAAGGTTTAGCAAGGGTTGATAGTGTCGCTTCTGAAAGTCCTGCTCAAAATGCTGTAAGTTCTTCCTTCCTTTCCTTTGACTCGTCTTTCAACTTTGATCATTTGAAAAGATGGATTCCTCAAGAAAGAAAAGGTTTGGTGGACACTCGGGCTGAGAGGATGATGGATGGTCTTGGAAAACAAGTCTTGGTGATGGAATGACGGTCGATGGACTGGCTCCAGTTCAACATAGAGGCCTCACGTGAAGATGTAAGAGGAGTACAAATTATCGTGAAATCGGAACAGAAGTACGAATAAAGCGGAAGGGATGTGATGATTAGTGAAGACATTGTGCTTATGACCAGGATCTGAGAACTGGAGATATAATATTTTCCTTTGGAGGTATCACTTCTACAACGGGAAGTTTGAACTCTATCGGAGCACTTGTTGCCGGATCACAAGGTGTGAGTGTATATATCTTTTCTTGATTCTTCCCACGTGCCTCTATGTCTTTTGGCCTCATTTTTCTAGCAACGACCTCTTCTCATCCTTCCAATTTCACCCATCTGACTACTATCCACCCTAGGCTTACTTTCACTTCCTCGATTCCTTCTGTAGACGTACGCCAGATTAATCAACAGACTCCCTTGATCGTACTGGTTCAAAGAGGAGAAGAAAAAGTACAATTGAGCCTCACTCCTCGGTCCGGTTGGGGTGGAAGGGGTCTTTTAGGATGTCACATACTTCCTCTTTAAAATCCTCCTTATCTTCTCACTTCTCATCTCTCTCTCTCTCATCCAAATTATCCCATTTCCAGCACATGATATCAAACCATCACACTTATTCATCAAACTCATGAATCGTATCGATGTATGCATCGTTCTTTCAAATCTAAACCACTCTTTTCTCTTTAGTCTCAACAAGACGTACCACCTCACCCACCGGTTTTTCCTCTACTAAAACCCCAACTCTTTCCACTTCTACTTTGTCAACTTTCGAAGAATAAGTTTGACCTAATCTCAAACCAGTCTTTTTCTCTACACCTTCCACAGCTTCCTTTGTCCATCCACGTAAATCATCTCCAGAACCCTTGATACGTTCCAAGGTCATATTGAAATGTGCCACACCGGTGGACACAAACCTTTCGTGTCTTTGTGAGAATTCTGGCATATGGGTATCTTCCAAATCGGACAATACACGTTGAAGGTTATGCGATGTTTTAGGGAGGAAATAAGGTAGAGAGATTAGTGCGAAGAGTGGTGGAGAGATGAAACGGATTGGGAAAGAACGTGAACGGGTGAGGACGGAAGCGGTTAGGGATGAAACTAGAACGTAGATTGAGCCGGGGAGGAGGGGTTCGTCAGGAGGTAAAACGGCTTTGACATGGTCTGAGTATTAGTAGAGTTCCAAAAGATTATGGGTTTGGTATCCATGATGTTCAATGTTGAAATCGACTGAAGAAGCTTTGAGAGAGTCCGAATGGAATGGAAATGGGAGTGGGAATGGGGAATTTACTCACGCTCTACCTTTCTCTCAAATGTGATCCACCTCCCAACTCCATCTTTAACATAACCCGCAGCACCTCCAAATAAAGAAGTCGCGCTCTCTCTTCCTTGTGCTATATAAGGTGTGAGGGGGTTCTGTTGTTCGATCAACGTGATGGGAGGTTCAGGTCTTGGATAGATGGGTAACTGCTAGTCAGAATAACTTGGCTCGGGGGGACAAGATTGTTCAATCCGTCTTGAAATTTATTTCAATTCCGATGTTGGCGATTCTACCTTTGTCGGTCATAAGACTATTGTGGATATACTGTTTCAGTAGTAGAGATCGGATCTGAGAAGGTGGACAGATGGGAGCCAGGCGGCTCACGTAAGAATAAGAGAATGGGAGCTTGAGGTGATGAGAATGAACTTACTTTCTCTCCGGTGGATGAATATCCAGGTCGGACAAATTTCTCTCCCATTTTGATAAAAACCAAAATACAGATCTTCCTCTATACCGAGTCTACCTCCTCCGTGATCTATGTCTGAGAATCAGCGTGATAATATATATCTACTTGAGACTCGTTACATTCCGTCGTGCTTTCACGAATTAGATATTTGCCCCAACTGCATGTTAAGACCAGTCGCACTGGGTCAGACCGCCCCCTTCCCGCCTCCCTTCTCTTCGGACCGATCTTTCGTATTGATGGAAATCACCCGACTTACTGCCCAAATGGCCTGAGGAGGAGAAGCACTCACTTTGTTTGCCAGACAAAAGATATGCGAGTTGGAATGTGAACGACGGAGCGGAAGTCGTTTTCTCCCGGAAGAGGTTTATCGACCGTGGGAAAATGTTAACTATGTGCATGCAAAAAGGGGTCTGGTACATTGTGACGAAGTCAACTTCTTAACTACTTATATGACTAGACTCGTGGGGGAATGCTGATGGCTATCACCATGATCACCATACTGGACACTATGCAGATATAATGCAGAGGGACAATTGTACGATAGAATATTGAAGGGCAAGTAGTAGCGGAGGGATCATCTCCATCCTGCTGGTACCTCCGGTACGTCGCTATAAGGCGTGACCCAAGCTTCTCGGATGTATAATAATGCGAAGATGAGGAATGCAGCTGCTCCAATCAAGGTGACTGAGGTCAGTTATTGGCACGGATCGATTGATAATGAGAAAATCATCAGAGCTCGGGAAGTCGACTCGAATGAGAAGGTGTAACGTCAAATTAAGAATCGAGACACAGAAGCAGGATGCTGTTCAGGTAATTGGAAGGAAAGAGAGGTTCTCAGGGGGAGAAGAAAGGGAGAGGTTGACAGGGACCACACTAAAAAGACTCACTATGCTTAACCGATATTTTGGTTGATAGATACCGACCTCCCATGACAGCTCCCAACGTACATACACCATGACCCACAATCGTCCCAAATGCTATAACCGGCACACTCTACTTCATCAGCTCAAATTTTCCCATTCTCATCACAACATCAAGTCTCCATCCATTATCGGGCAAAGCGAAGAGAGAGAAGATGAGTTTTGAAAAAGAAATGATTTTCGAAACTCACATGAGCTCCTCCCATAGCAATAGTAGTAATCTGACTTCTATCCCCCCATTCTCCCAAGAAGGTCAAAATGAACGCTTGAGCAAATACAGGATTCGTTAAAACCTGTATGGCATTCCTAGCTCCTTCACTAACTCTTGAAACCCAATGTCTACCTTTCTCTTTGACAGGACCAACACCATTAGGAGTAGGAAATAATATACTTGGACCTCTAGGTTTAGGACTAGCTGAACGAGAATGAGCGACGGGGTTATATCTTGATGAAGGTGAACTTGGCATGTCGGAAGTGAATTTACCTTCTTCGAGAGCTTCGAGAGGTATGGAAGAAGAGGTAGAGTTATGAAAGTCGTGTCGGGATGCATCTTCTTCTAATTCTTCTTCTACTTCACGCATTTCATCTTGAATGTGTGAACTTCCGGATGACATGGTAAGACCTTCTTGAAGCATTTTTATTCCGAAGACCAGGAAAAGGATGGCAGCTGCCCAGAGGGTCCATACCTCTTATCAACTCGTTTATTCATATATCGCTTCATTGACACAGAGCCTATGTGGCATGACAACCTCTCATATCGTTTCTATTCACAAAGCTCTACTCTTTTGAAGCTAGAGAAGAGAGCAGGGTTGGAGCGTCAAGCAAGTCTTGAAAAGGGAGAAGGGAGAAATTGGAAACAGGACAATGTATGACTACCCACCTTTGGTATAAAACCCAATATCACCCTTCCCAAAGCAGCACTCAGTATACTCATCACTACTAAACTCGCGAATGCTCCTCCGAAAACTGTGATCCTAGGATGTCTAGTGGCCATTATAGCAGCAATGAGGAATGTTTTGTCTCCTAGTTTCGTCAGTCAGATTCTACACGGTAATTCTCCAGTTGCTCCTTCGTGTCGTATCCAATTTGAGAAAAGTGGGAGGGGGCAAAGATATGAACGGCATAAAGGCTATATAGGGCAAGGTAGAAACAGGACATACCGATTTCAGAGACGACGATCATGATGAATGATTGGAAGAGGACATCTTTGTATCAGCTTCCTCTGCAACTGATAGCTCCAACACCTCTCTGTCCAACCCCAAGAATCATCAACACCTCCCATGCCGTCTAGTACTGGCGAAGCAAGACGTGACATGTAATCACGAGCGACAAGAGAACTATTCGAGAGTCAGAAGACGGAGAAACACAGAGTGTACAGAAGATAGCAACGGTAGGGAAGACCAACCCAAGTCACTCCCTTCTTCAATCACAGCCATCTTGTTCCTCACTCCTGGCTCTGCGTATACTCGGTATACTATCCTCTTTCCTTCAAATCCTGAAGGATACCACCAGGATGATAAAGATTGAGGTTATTGTATCTGGTCGTGAGACCGGTCAAAGGAGAGATGGAATGAAGTGACTTTCATAGGTGGAAGAGTGAGTTTGCACGTGCAAGTTTTCCCCCTGAACCACGACAACTTTGGCAGTGCATTTATTACATACAGTATGCCATTTTTAGATATGGCAAAGGTGACTACGACTACGAGTAGGTATTGATATACATAAGCATATATATACACTCTGTAAGGGGTGAGATGCATGTCATTTGCCATGGGATGGATCTTGGATGGACCATACTATATCTGTGGGTGTAACCCTTTTCGACCGAACTGTACGACCGTTACGCATGTCCGAGGCGTCCACTGTAAATCAGCGATTCAGCAATGACATAGCGGTAATCTATTCATTCATCTCAATGACGGTAATCTCTGATAAAGACCGTTGACACTATTGGTGGTGTTGTGTTGACTAGGTAGGGCGCATACCGCACAGCTTCCTTGAACGTCCAAAAGGACCTTCCCTCCTTCATAAACTCTTTGGCTGCAGTGTTCCTATCGATACTCAAGTCATTGTATGCGAGTGACGCTTGACATGCTAAATGGACAGAGAATCAGGAGAATGGGAGAGATGAAGTAAGAGACGAACACCAACTCACCCCTCTCGATCAAAAGTTCTCTGGTGGATGCCAACCCAGCTTTATAATTCCTCTCTATCAACCTCTCCCTTTCGACCTCTTCATCAACTTCAACGAAAATTTTCAAATCCATCATTTCCGCCGCATCCCTCCATTTATCTTCGTCCAAAAGACAATAAAGTCCTTCGATCACTACTATCCTATTCTTCCTCGTGATCGGTCTCGGGGCGGGTGTTGGGTCTTTGAGAGCATGATCAAATTCGAAATATCCAACTTCTTCTTCCGTATCTTGTTTCAACTTTTGGACAAACTTCAAATAACTGTCGACGTCAAAGGTGAAGGGAGCACCGCGATAATAATGTGCCTCTTGGGGGTCGGGGAATGTATCGAGGATAGCTCGAGGGTAGTGCCATCCGTCAAGGGACACTGAGACAGCAGGTTTGTCAGGTGATTCTTGAGGTTGTGTGGCAAGTGCCGTGGATGAATCTACTATAGATGGATGATGGGTTGGAGGGGAAGAGAGGAGGGAATTGATCTTGTCTACTAAAGGGAAAGCAAGGGTTGATTTTCCGCAACCTGGTGGACCACCTATACATATCAGAATACGGGAGTTGTCTTTCCTTCTTTGTCAGCTACGTTTATCATCAGCTTCTCTTACCGTACTGTCGCCTGTAAGATGGTACAGTACATATCTTCCATCAAGGCGATGAGATCAGATAAGTTACTTGGGGGAGAAACTCACGACTTGTACAAGTCCACGGCCTTTTGGGCAAGTCTTTTCACTTCAGCGTCCATGACCAGTTGTTCTTCCAGTGACTCACCCCGGAAGAGTGAGTAATATGATTATCTTCCAACAAGTGTCAGTGCTGATATACCAGGTCTCCTCACCATCACCGACCTCTTCTTCACCATCACCACCTTCCAGTCGTCGCGTAAGAAGCGAAAGGACGCGCCACGTGGCTGATAGCTCTGCAATCGGTAATTTCGCGGCGACGCAACCGGTTGACTTTCGGGGACTCGGTCCGGGTGTTCGTTTAATTACGTAATGGAATGCGTCGTTGATCAACTTTTACTTTTTCAACTGGACGATATTGGGTTTTTCATCAACACAGACCATTTATTGTACGTCTTCTCATGACTGACATGCACACTGACAAGAATAGTAGAGAGGAATAAGAGGTGATCAAGACTAACATAGATGGCAGCGTTGAAGTCGTGAACCGGCTGTATAAAAAAAAGAGTGAAAATATGTTATCTCCGTATCTTCTCCGTTTGCTTCCAATCTTTGCCGATGAATCCTCCAAAACTCAAGACCGTTCGAAGTTTATAAGAACCATACTCGCCGTCTTTTTTTTTTTCTTCTTACTTCCTCTATCTTTTAACAAACTCTTACTCCACTCACAAGCGTGTTTCTATATTTTCTTACCAAACCAGAAAACAAGACTTGATCAAGATGACCAAACAATTCCGTTCTCTTCTCGAGAAACTCGAGGAAGAGGTTATGAACATTGATGTCGACTGCGCTGATCCCGATGTCGCATTGGCAATGCCTTTCAAACCTCATAACCGTGAGTTATTCCTTCCCATCTTCTCATATCCCCCGTTAGATTTCTCACGAATCTCTTCCCCTAGAGTTCTTTGCTTCATGGGATGTCAGAACCCTCGCCGGGAGGTTGCAGGACGCACTTCAAACTAGGGTGGCGGTAGGTTGGATGATTCATTCGAAATGAGACGCAAGGAGACAATGTGATCTGGGTATCTTACCAGGGACTAGTGCTAAAGCTTAGAAACTTCCAACCAGGATATCATCACCGGTGCCCTGATGAACCCCCTTTACAAGGATTTGGTCATGGAGACAATTACCAAGTACAAGTCTGAACCTTGGGAGATCATCTACGACCGTGTGGTGAGTGATTGACTACTTGATTCACCATTCCGTGCGCCCTTGGTTTTTAATTCTGGCTCTTTTACGAAGTATTCGTGAACAGTATATAAGGTCTAGTACAAGAATGATAGATCGATTCTCATTCTCTGTTACTAAGATCCGAATGTGAAGGAATTTTGCTAATTCCTAGGCCGTAGCTATCTGCAAACAGAACATTGTCAACATCCAAGACCGTGTCCTTCTCCAGGTGTCTTGTCACATCTTGCACGACACCGAAGCCGTTCTTACCCATGCTAGGAGATACGACCAGTTCTTCAAAGAGGCCGGTATTGGTCGGTGAGTCCACAATCTGATTTTTGCCCGTTCTACTTCTCTCCCTTCCTGTCTGATACCCCGATATCACAATTGTGTAGAACAAAACGGTAGTGAAGTATGAATGTGTGAAGATGAGGAGATAAACAGGTAACATGAGCTTGGGACAGAAGGATCAGAGGTAGCGATGGATAACGCTAATTCTCAGTGACAAATACTGCATCAAGATCCCCATCGTCGGACCTTCCATGGTCGCTGCTAAGATCCTCAACGCTGAGGGTATCCGAACTCTCGGAACTTCCCTCTTCGGTCTTTCCCAAGCTATCGCCGCTGCTCAAGCTGGTTGTTTGATGGTTTCGCCTTACTACAATGGTGAGTCCCTCCATCCATTCATCCTCAACTTGACCCACTTCCTGCAAGTCTTTCTATCCCAAATATCAGTTCCATGTTGATGAGCTATTCTGAAAGAAGACGACGACAACTAATTCTCCAGAATGCGACGCCCATGCAAACCGTTCCCTCTGGCCTGATGTTGAAGACCCGGCCACTCAACACCCTTCTTCTTTCCGTATCATCTCATACTTGCAAGCTTACGAAGAGCTTTACAAGCGTACTGGTAAAGAACAACCCAAGGTCATGTCTGCTTCGTGAGTTTATTCCTCCTTCTCTCTCACCGAGTTTCTTATCTTGAAACACTCAGTCTCCCTTCCTACCTAATATTCTCACTTCCTCATCCTTCTTTCTTCTCATCGAATTGAGTGAGAGGAGATCGATGTCGTCTTTGCTAAAAGTGGCCCATGAAATTTGAAGTAAAAGCGGAGATGTTTGGTATAGAGACAAAGACGATAACGGCGACACGATTTTGTAACAAAACATAAACAATTCTAACTCACAGTTACATCACCGCTAAAGAAGTCGTAGCATCCGGTGAAATCGGTTGTTGGGCAGTGACTCTCCCTCCTGTTCTCCTGAAAGAACTAGCAGAAACCCCAGACGATTCTCCTCCTTCCGGTATCCCCAAACCAAACCATCCTTACATGCACCGACCTTCCCTCTCCAAGCGTCTCGCTCATATGGTCGGTCTTGATCCTTTGGCAGGTAAAGAATGGGAAGGTAACCAAGCGAGTTTAGACGTTGATTATCTCGCTGATGGTGGTGCTGCTTTGGAAGAAGCTATGAAGAAAGATGCTGTCGTTTTGCCTCGTCTTAAACAAGCTGTTGATTTGTTCAATGGAAGAGAGGATGAAGGTAAAGAATGGATTTTGGAAACTCTCAAAACTCTTGCTTAAACCTTTCTTTTCTCTCAATTATGGATGGAATAGGTTTGGTGTTGGGACATTAATTCTTTTGTGTTATCAATTCATTCTTCTCTTTTGATATACAGTATGCATCGGTGATTCGTCTTTACTTTCGTCAATGCATCGTCGACTTCTACACTCAAATTTCACAAGTTGTTGATTGAATTAAGTTTTTCACTGCAGGGATCCCATTACCAACATGATGGTTGATCAGGTATAGTTTGACCTGGGAGGACTTTTGAGCTAACCCCCCAACACTTCGTTGATTCTTGAAACCGACTCAATCAGAGCCATGTCATGCGAAATTAATTGATTCATGAGAAAGATACAGAGGAAGAGCAGAGTAGGAGCGATACTCGAAATGATAATTGATTATCATCATGTAAGTAATTCACTTTCCATCTAGTGATATTCGCCTCTGCAATTGACGATCACACACAATGATATTCCTCTATGCATCATTCCGCCCATCAATAAATGTTTTATTTAGCTTGAGCCACTAACAACTCCTTAAAGTCTCCAACGGCACTAGAAAACCCAGTCTTCGTATCGTCCTGCTCAAAACCCAACGCAACGGATTCAGAACTATCAAAATCTCCTGGCCAGGTGAGACAAATACGGACGACGACGGGATCGCGTTTCCAATGAACCAATTTGAGAGCTTCTTCACCTCCATGTTCGACACTGTATGTCAGGACCATTTCTCCTTTCTCCTCGAGGATCGCGATTGTTCGTGAGGGTCCAGAATTTTTCCATGAGTTCCCAAAGGCCCTTGAGAGTTACGAATTTCACCCCCGCCAGGATTGGGGTTTCCCCGCAGAGCCCCAAGAGAGATTTCACAGGCGTTTCAGAGTCCACATCGGGAGAGGAGAGGTGGATGAAGTGGTCAAGCACACTTGGTTGCGGCTGACAGTGTACAGGTCAAAACAAAACGAGGGGTAGAAAGATCACGAACAAGAAGTTTAGGGGAGAACAAAGTAAACTGAGAGAGGAACTTTTTTCAGGAGGGCAGGAGGACAAGGAAGAAGAGAAGAGATACATGTGGATACAACAACTCACAGAGCATTTAATATGTCCCTAGGAAGAATACTGATTCCAGGCAAGTTCAAACTCCTACTAACTCTCTCTTTGAAAGAACTCTGAGGCATACAAAGAGCCCAAACGAGGTTTCGAATGACAGTTTTGGTCCTACTTAGGTATACGGGCAATTGATCGAGTATCGGATCGTCTGGACCGGACGCAATGGGACATTCAGAGATTTGACCTAGAAGAGGTTCACGGATGAGACCGGAGATGAAAGATGATGCTGCGGTTGATGGCTGAGGTCAGTGGTCTTTCAAACTAGTCACATATATATCTTGCCCCAGGGCGCGTGCAGGACTCTACAGTGATCTGAGAAAAATACGTGCTTAACACGGTGATCAATATGAGTTTAGGGTCAAGGCCATGAACTAGGAACAAAACCAGATCCGAGGAGGGAGGTTGTGGGATATGATGGGAGCAGAGAAGTCAAGAAAAGGAAGATAGAAGTAAACTCACTGCACCAGATCGGATAGCTACGGTGGGCAGACGAACACAACGAGTGTCGAGCATACCACGACGACCATAATCGTATGCGTAAGTCTCGATGATTTGTTTTTGACAACCATAACTGGTTTCTGGGATCAAAGGTGTGTCGCTGAGTGTCAGCAGTTCCGGTTCTTCCCTTTTTGCTCACAGTCCATCGTTTCTTTACACATCCTCCTCCTTCTTCTTCGGGTGGACTTCGGTAGCTTCTCAACTGGCTCGCGTTCTCACTTCTTCAATCACATTATGAAGAGACAGATGCACATAACACCAAACAAGTCATCTATCTTTCTAACGACCACATGGCGTGTTCATACGACTTTTACGCAATAAGAAGTGGAATAGCAAATCGGAACCAACTCACGCAGGCACGACCAAATCTTGAGGTCTACACTTTGGTCCTCCATAAACTGCTAAACTCGAAGCGAACACATAAACCGTCTTCTCCCCTTCGGGAAAAGTAGCTGCATGAGCTACAGCTGTTTTGAGTACGTTGAGATGAGCGTCGACGTTGACAGCGTATCCAAGGTCGAAATTCGCTTCAGCTCCACCTGACATGATACCACTATGAAGTGAGCAAAGACTTGTCATATCTTCATGCCTCCTCATACTTCATCCCCTTCTGACACCGTGAACATTCCTTGTATCCTGTCCTATCTCCGCACGTTTTTCAAAACTTCCGTTTGTGTCCCAACTATCTTCTTCCCTCCCATTCTTGTATCGATGACGCATCGATGACGGACCCTGATATGGCATTGTTCAGCCTCTCTACCACTCTTGCCTTTTGCACCCTGCTTGTTTTGGGAAAGTTTCGCTCCAAGCAGGATGTGATGCATGAAGATAGACAATACGTGATGATTAAGAAAGATAATTCTCTGATTGTGTTTCGAAGGGGCGCGGGGCAGGTAAAGAAGGTTGAGGAAAACTTACTGCAAAGCGAATACCCCTCCGATGGTTTCTCCTTCGAACAAACTCTTAACCTGGTCCAAATCCCCCAAATCGGCTTTAACACTCTTAAGTTTGTTCGAATCCGTTATTCCATAAGTAGGAGGAACGTTGATATCCACTGTTATCAATCGGATAGAAGGGTAAAGTTGTAGAAGGAGTTGAGTGAGTTGTTGGCCTACGAAACCTTATTATTAGCTTTCTTCCTCCTTTTCTCTTTCTCAATACAAGCGCTGAAGCCGTCCCGATCTTCGAGATCCATCCGATTTCATCATTCACATTATTATGTTCATACATACAGCTAGCGAGAAGACTTTCATTATTTTTTTGAAGTCTCAGAAAGAATTCATGGTGGATCTATCAGAGGATCGAACACATCAAACATTCCGTTGGATGGAGGAGTTGTGAGATCTCTTTTAGTGATACGTAGACAAAAGGACGATGTGTGACTTCGTCAGACATGAGAGATCGTATTTTATCGGGTGAATGAATGTCTTATGAGAGAACAGATAGCTGAAAGAAGAGAAACAAACGAGGAGGGAGAAAAAAAAAGAAGACATACCTCCAGCCCCAGTGATCAAAACAGTCTTCACATGACTAGGCAAAACTAACGCATCGTAAGAACTTGACATTTTATCTTTATATCTCTTTCCTCTTCTCTTTCAACTCTCTTGAAATATATAAGATGTCTTGGTCGTCTTTGTAGTATTATGAGAAGCATGATCACTTATATATGAAGAAACGATTTTGAATGAGAGAACGGAACCCGGTACCGGTCGGACCGATCGGAATCAACAGTTTTGCAGCATAATTAGAGGGATGAAATAAGGCATGCATTGGGAAGGTTACAATTACAACTATGAACAAAATGACATTTTAGGAATGTTCGTGCGATGAATTATGGATGGTGGAAGTTGCAGACAAGAACAGATGTCCCGGTCAAAGAGGTTGATCGTAGATATTGTGGGGATCAAAGAGACTAATCCGCGAATTGGTTCTCGATACTAGTCATTATATTTAAAAAGTCTGCAAGATCAGCATCACCACTTTCTTGTCTTGGTCCATTTGAAGGGAAGGTCAAAGAGGTCTTAAACGTAGACGGATGAGAAACAGAGGGAATGAGAAATACATCACTCACCCAACAAGTAAGCTGCTATGCCTTGGACATTGGAATGATCATAATCTTGCGCTGGCAAAGCGTCCAGGAGAGTAACGGCGACCACTCGGATCTTGGTCACTAACGATGGACCATTGGCGGCTAGCTGCGGAATCAACGACTATCTCCTTACACTTATAGGTCCTCATCCTGGTATCGATAGAACTCAAGAGTCCAAACCATCTGATGATAAATGGGGGGTAGCGCATAGCCCATAGGTGGGGGCAGACGGACAGGAGAAGAAAACACTTACGGCCTGGATAGGTATCCCATGCACGGCCTTGAACAAATCTTGGTATACCAAATGGCGCCAATCGACACTTTCTCCAAGATCACTAGCTACAAGCTCGGCCGCTGATTGTCAGCCATTGCAAGATGTATCGTTGTAGACTCACCATGTCTGCTAGGAGTACCGATGGCGCCGCTCCGATTGAGGAGGTCTTCCCGGTGTAAGCTGATTGTCAGTTTGGCCGAATATGAGACAGTTCACTGAAGGCTCGCAGAAATTACATCTGGAACGAGTTACGCTTACTCCATAACAGGAGGAGAGAGATGATTGGGGCAGTGAGAATACAATCTCAGACCAGGGCAGGGATGGTGAAAAATAAAATAAAAGGAGGGTAGAGGCGCCAGGGAGGGAGTTTCCGGTGAGGGGTATATGAAGAGTACGTACATCAATCGCAATCTGATCATGGCCAATGTCACATGGATATTTGCCTTCATCACTAAATATCCATCTTTGGCACTCTCACTAGCAAGAGGATCAGAAAAGAACATGTCCAGTTCATCCCGAATGGCAATCTCCCATCCTGGTTGAGGTCTGAAAGTCAATCCAGTGCTTCAGAGTCATGAACCATTTTTTTCTACACTATCCTTCCATCCAGCTTTCATGTCTGACAAGCGTATTCCAATCCACTCAGTCAACTGAACAGCGCAATACTCAACGTCGGGCTGTCCGACTCTTCACCACTCAGAGAGAGTTAACCATGGGGATACGAGGCAAAGTTTTCATTGGGGTAGATGTGCAAGAGGGATTAAGGTGCTCGACGGATAAAATAAGAGGAGAAAGAGTGGAAGACTCACAATAAGTCTTCTCCATCTCCATCCCCATCCAACTGGAAAGGTCTGGGTAACTTATCCGCTATGGACTTGAGTCGAGCTTGCATAGTTCGTACTTCTCGAAGAGCAGCTAACATCTGTTCCGGTTCGTTTGGAGGATTCCGTCGCATATCACGTTCGTGCACCAATATATCACCGAGAACACTGAGATTAGTACGGAGACTCCATCCTGCTCTTAACGAGAAAGCGCAGCATAGCAGAAGAAAATCCCTCTCCATAGACCCGAACCACATAGTACTGAACATGAAGGATGCACGTGTTTGGCTGAAGATTCTCATGATATCCTATTTGGACGTCAAACTGAACGCGCAGTGTGTGAATAAAGTAAGATGCCGAGAGAAAAGAAGTAACTCACCTAGCCATCCTAGTCATATCATTAAATCCACAAATCAAAGGTACCACAGTACTCCCTGGTAGATACCCATTTTCAGTGATACACTTATCATCCAATTCCGTAGGCAAAGCTACCGTCTCTGGTGGTCTCATGAATTCGTCGGAACGCATCATCACTGGTCTTCCACGGGCGAGGGCTTCATGTTTATCGGCATTGTAGATAGTGAAGAACATTCTTCGACGACGTTCAGCTTCGATAGGGTCTGACGTTAGTATGTGGTTTGGTTGCTTACAAAGAACATTGTTGTCGGATGAGAGGGGAGGATTATTTGGGGATTTGAGAGTTATATGTTATTGGAGAGAGAAAAGACTAACTGAGGCCGTAATATGACTGAATGTCAGCTTTGAGATTCCAAGGGCTTACAGCTGAGGGATATTGAAGAGGAAGAGACTCACTTCTTCTCGATGATACCCCATACCAACGGCTAGATATTGCATCTCACCGAACCCGGCAGCTTCCAAGCCTGTTTGACCGTGTTTCTGCAATTAGTCTCCACACATTTCTCGGCGTCCATGGAAAATCACTACGAGGTCGGAGTCGTCTTTGGTTGGACACCCAGGACAAGAGAACTCAGCATTGACATGAGCGAGCATCGCTCTGCAGACGGCAGATTTACTTAGCATTATCCGAAGAGTGTATGGAGGAGGATGGAGGCTGGAGAATAGGGATATAGGTCCAGAACTCACATTATGTATGATACTCTGAAAATACTTGATACACAGATAATCGATATTCGGCTGATCGGCCGCCCGTCGTGTAAGAGCATACGAATATTTCAAGCAATGGTCTGAGAGTCTCCGAACTGATTCGGCAGGAATGGGGAAGAAAGATTTCGGTACCTGGAGATTAGTACCTCGGGAGTGGCGTTCGAGAACTCATCTCCAAAAGGGGGCACGTAGGCTTGGTAAGAAGAGATGAGTTGGTGATGGATACCCCATGTGTATGTAATGATACAGATTGGAAGGTTTTTGATGACTCATCGAAAGATAAACTCACATGTATCAAAGTAATCGCAATCATTGACATTACCAAACCGAAGAAAATAGGTGATTTCTCTTCTTCGTGCGCTGCTAGATCTGCCATGAATGTAGGACGGTGAATTATAGGGATGATACAGTATATCTAGTCGTTAATTAGAATTTCATTCTGAGCTGATGTCCGTGTGTTACAGGAAGTCCATTCAAATCGAATCGATTGGATGTTCAATGCTTTCACAAAGACTGAGTAGGATGGGAAAGGGGCTCTGTAATGAGAACACGGGGGTTAGACTTCACTCACATGTTCAAAGAATAAAGCAATGACATGTAAAGCTAATTCCCTCGGTAAAACAGTTTCAATAGCCATCCCACCTGGACCCATATTTCCTAAACCTGTAGCTCCTGGTCCTATACTAGGTTCACTAAACACCGTACTTGGAGAAGGATCATTAGCTGGTCCACCTAATGATCCGACCCCTCCTAACACTCCTAAAGTTCCAACTCCAGCACTACTAGCTCGCACACGGTCCAGGGGGGGCATACTCACTGTGGGGGGTATCAAAGGATTTGACATGTTGGGGAGAGAGGGACCTGCTGAGCTGGGACCTGCGGTCGCAGAGGGGAGGGAAGTGGATGTCCAGGGTGATTTATCATATGACAATTCAGTAGGTTGAGACATGAAGATTGTTTTGGGAGGAGACGAGATGTAGGATTGAGAGGGGAATTGGAATACAGGAGGGATTATATCGATGTTATTTGCTGGATCTCGAGGGTCTGAAAAAGTCTGATGAATCAGTTTTGTGCGACACCTTAGGAGCTTTGAATGTGGAGTGATAATCCGACACGGACGAAGTCAAGAGAACTTGATAAGAGGCGGACCATCGTAGTCACAGTCATACGACATGCGCTTGTCGAAACGAGGATCATAAGACGAGTACAAAGAGAGTGGACTATCGGATCTCTGGTAACGTTGTAGCGATCGACAGCAAACGAAAACCGCTCGAGTCAAATCTGAAAGATAGGACACAGCGAGACAAAAGTTGAGAAGGATTGAGTCGAATTGGAGATGGAAATGTGGACAGAAGTTCAGAACGAAATACACCAAAACTCACATGTCGTCTAGAAGGAGGTGGTCTTCTCTCTTCAACCTCTTCACTACTTTCTCCTAAGACACCAGATTTCCTTTTCTTCTGTTCTTCCGCTAACCTTTCCACCACAAGATTTTTCCTACCTCTTCTTTTCCTTTGATATAAATAAGAACAATCTAATCCCCATTCTCTACAATGATCACAAGGTATTAAAGCTATTGCTTCAGGACCTAATTCTATACGTTCCGGTCTTCCTGCACATTTTAATTTTCTTGTTCTACAAGCATCACAAGAAGGTGGTTGTCTTTTACTTAAAACTTCCATTACAGGTTGTCGACTTCTATCTATCCTATTATTATTATTGGAATTGGAATTGAGATTGGGATTGGGATTGGGATTGGGATTGGGATTGGGATTGGGATTATCCATTTGACTTAAATGATTGGATAAATTTGAACTTGAAATACCTAATTGATCTTGACGTATTTGTTCTAAATGTTCGATTCTTTCTCTTTGATCCATTCTTTCCATTCTTTCTAAATGATCTTGATGATTCATTCTTTCCAAATAATCTTGATGATTCATTCTTTTCGTTTGCATTTGCATTTGATCTTGATGATTCATTCTACCTGAACGATCTCCAAGATTTATTCTATCCAAATGATCTCTCTCCATTCTTTCCAACCTATCCAACCTTTCCAACCTATCCAACCTTTCCATTCGATTTAACTCGGAACGATCAATGTTGACATGATCATTACCTATATAAGGTGAATGATTTGATCTAGAAATAGACATTGAAGGTGAAGAAGATGGATAAGAAAAAGATTGTGTTCTACCATTTTGTAATAATACCGTAGGTGAAGTAGACATTGTATTGGTTTTTGTTCTTTTCTTCGGTTTACTTGAAAGTTTCTTCTTTTTATCCACCTTCTCAACTGTGGATTTAATCCCATCAATCTTATTCTTATCTTTTTTCAAACCACTCCTCACTTTACCCACTGCACTGAGATTGGTGTGATTATCGATGACACCGATTCCACTATTACTTGTTAATCTGGGATTATCGATGATACCTATCCCACTATTTCCACTCGTTCCACTTGTATCAATCACGCTGGGTCCACTATTATTTGTATTATCGTTATTGTTCTTTTTATTGTTATTGAAGTTGAAGACGGGTTGGAAGATAGTTGATCCACTCAAATGGCTGACCGAGTGGCTGGTCTCTTTAGTCAAACGAGTATCTATCGTTACTGTGGAGATTGATGATGATGATGATGAAGATGATGTGGATGAAGATGCGTCTGTCATCTCTCTCAAATCACCAACACTCCGACGGGATTACGGACGTTCCCGCTTTGACCAGACGAACTCGTTACTGCAGGGGATGTGGGGCTAAGGTTTACGGTGCCCCATGTAATCAGGTAGAATCGGGTGAGATCGCTACTTGGCTCTTTGCTCTGTCTGGGAGAGCTTGGATGAATTGGTTGACCGGGGATGGTCGGATGGCGTTTGCCACCGTTGGGGCTTTGGCAGTTGGGATGGATGGAGGGGAAGAGAGGAGGTAGGAGGAGAGAGAGAGAGGGAGGAAGGGATCGGGACGGAGAATAGTCGGAGGCGGAATTCGCCACTCAAAAGCATCTCTCTGTCAAATGTCACATGTATGCAAATCTGTATGAAGCATCTCATGACTTGATCCATGTGAACATGTATTACATCGCTTCAAGATGAATAGCAGTACGAAGAACATATCATAGAAGGTGATTACCCTGACATAACACATGAGGGTGATGTGGGCAGTGATGACGTGGGGTAAGATCATACCTCTGATCGGCACCTTTGGGGTAGTAACCCTTCCAAGCCTTCGTTATAACGAGAAGACAGCTACTCGTAACAAACCACTATGCATATGCTGTGTACATTCTTTGCGTGTGGTTGTCATTCATTTCTTCTCTTGTCTCATCTCATCTTCATCTTCATGATTCATTCACGCTTTCGTCTCTTCCTTCGTCTCCCCATTCCCAACCTTGTTCTTCTTCTTTTTGGGCGCACGGAGGGGCTGTGTCAACAATGTTTTCAATTCCTCATCCTCAAGAGATTTGGACGATGACAGTTTGTCGCTGATGGTCAGTGAAGGTCGTTGTCGTCATAGCTCTGCGAAGAATCAAAGACCAAAGTGGCGGAACCGTTCAAAGTATCAAAATGAGGGATGAAAAGTTGGGCAATAGAGGTTTGATTGAGGTCGGGAGCACTCACGCGGCGTACCAAACCGGATTGGGCGACAGTAACAGAGGCCCGGCAGGCAACAAAGCGACTATCACGTCAGTATGAGTCAAGAGGATGAGGAGAGACTGACGAGTGAAGAAGAATTGAGCGACGGAGGTACCGACAGCAGTTTGAACAATGTCGTATGGTTTCAGAAGGCCTGTGTGTGAGCTTGAACGCTCTCTCTTTCATCCCTGCCTCCAGCCCTGATCAATTCGTGATTCTTCCTATTCTCACAGCACGTATGAGCTCCTAACCAGGAGACGACAATAGGGCTGGGTCAAAACCGTTTGAACAGAGTAGTGCACTTGGAGATGTGAAGTGGTCATAATGAGGTGGAGAAAGAAGAATGGACAGGTATCGGAGACTAACCATGCGTCACTGCCTCGTGAACACCCATCCTCGCCCTCTTCTCATCCTCTAACGCTCGCAGATTGAAAGGGAATGCGCCGGCTTTTTTCTGAATTTCGGAGAATACCGCACGAGACGTTTTCATTTTAAGTTGATAGCTGATGTCTCCTCTTTTGTAGATGGACGTTCGCGATGGGTCGGGTTTAGCCTGGTAGTCATTAAAAGAGCTTATGGAAGTTAGAAATGACACACTTTTCCATCCGAACCTGTTACCACCAATATATCCACTCCATAAACCTCTCCTTCTTCAAAGGTACAAGTTTCATGCTCCCTCTTCAACTCCGGAGTTGGATTCAACAGAATTCTTTTCTTCCCATCCGTCACATCTTTCTCAAATTGACAACTCAACATACCCTCTACAGCCGAACAACCATACGACTTTGCCACCTTATCCACCACTTCCGTTACCTCCCAATTCTTGGCGCCAGCTTTCAGTACTCGTATAGCAGCTTGAGCCCCGTCATATGCCGCTTGAATGACATCGGCGGAAAGACCTTCAGTCTTGCTTGAGAGGTGAATTGTTTCGGCGTGAGTGACGGCATAGCCATCGATATGGACACCGAGCATGATTTTGACAATGTCATTTTCTTGCAGAATAACTTCAGGGTCAGAAGGTAGAGGGGAGAAATGGTCGACAATGTTGTTTATTGAGATGGTGGTGGGAAATGCGAGACCTGATTGTTAGTCTTTATACGGCGTCCTCACCCAGAGGGAAGATGAGGAGCACAGTTGAAGGGAGAGGTCACTCACCCTTCTGTATCTTAACACCATTTTTCGATTTATTCCACAATGGAGCCACAGCCTCAGCGACTAACTTATCTCCCCTTTCCCAATCAGCTCCTTCATACCTCCTTACGAACACACTCACTCAATACAAAGATCAAGAACTTTTTTACCAATTTCGACTTGGGGTACAAACTTTTTCAAAACATCAGCGAGTATATGACCGGCTGATTGATATTTTGTAAGACTGACATCAGCCCTGTTCTCATCCATACTCTGTGAAAAAGTGCTTCTTCCTGCCTTCTCCATAGCACGACACATAACGTCCAAGATCGCATTCGACACTTCCTTTGTCCTACATGGTACCGTGACTCAATCTGCCATACTGGGACTCGCACGTCATAGCTCAGTATGAGACATCATGCGTTGGTGTAAAGACAATGGCTCGTATCAGTGGAGATAGAGATCATGTGACAGAAGAGAGCTGATGGAATGTGAACCACTGTCTAACTCACGCATCATCAGTCAGACCTTTGACCTCTTCTTTCGGTTTATCCGTAGGTACAGGTTTCTTGAGATCCACTTGAGGTTCAGACATATTGCCCGAGATGTCACTTAGGTGTTCCAGAGAGAAAGTATGATGGCAAGCTACAGTACTCAACGGTTGAGAGGAAGACTTGTCCAGGGTGCGCGGTCTTGGTGACGTACAGTTTCGATTCTTAAATGGAGGGATTATTTAAGAGTTGACCTTATCACCCGACAGCATCAAGGTAGCATGGTTTCCGTTGCGACTACCAGGTGATAGGATGACATTGAGTAAGAACAGGTGCTGGGTACTGGGCCACTGGGTGCAAGTGCAGATGGATGCTATGCTGGCATGCTTCGTCTACGGCAAGTGAATCTACTTTTGTACACGGGTAAAGATCGGTTTCTCCTTTTCGTGCACTTGAGGTTGACCCTCTGGTGAGCCAGGAATGGTTTTGGTTAGGTTCTAGCTTGTCAGCGATTTTTCGAGTCTGAATCCCCTTTTTACCATACCCCACACTACAGACTTGTGTATGATACCGCAGGTCATGTGAGTAGGAGACACGCTGATACGCGTTATGAGGAAGGAGAAGAGGAAAGAGACTGACTAATTTCGTGAAGACACAATTGTTGAGCGCTTTCTCGGGTACCCTGCATGCTTGAAGATACTACACGAGTCAGCATCCGCTCTTGCATGAGAAGCTCATCTCCTAACTCATTAGAGAAGCCAAAGGGAAGAGGAAGAAGTTGGAGTGAATATATTACACACCTGATTATTCTTCTCTAGACATTGCCAATGAGCATCAAACTCCGCCAAACAAGATTCTCTCATTTTCCGTATCCTGACCATCAGTCACATGCTAAGACGCTTCGTACATATCTGTAGCTCCAATGTGGCGATGGAACATATGAGATGAGACAGGGATGATTTCAACTACCCCAAGAGGGAGTGCTCAGGTGATTGAGACGAGAAGAAATATCCACTCACAACTCTGAAGCACACCGAGTGACTTTACGTCCTTCCTTCAGACAATGAGCAGGATCTCTATTTTCCGATTTACATAGCATGAAATCCTCTGAATGTTAGTTAAGTTTACTCTGATCGATGTTCTCATTTCAATTTGGCAACATAGCTCTTTCGACCTGACCCTCCAGACAAGGTTAATTTCGAGGTGAGTTTACACGACCCAGTAAACCCAATGCAAACCACTGACAAGCTGAAACATATCTCTTGTAGTAGAGTAGCTAAGCCAAGAGGAAGGGAAGAGTATACGAGGGGAAGTCAAGAAGAGGGAGGTACACCCACCATTCACATCCTTACAATACTGTCCGATGAAAAAACTGGCCGATTTCAAAGGGGCACTTGTTGTTCCTAACTCGTCCACAGGTGGGACGGAAGTGGGCAAAGGGTTCGGGTCTACGTAAGGTTGATCATTGAAAACTGCTTGACGATGTGAGGCCATGGTGGGTGGCCAGGTTGGGAGAGGGGAAGGAGTAGAAAGTCAGAAGGATCAGAAGGGAGAGAAGTGGAAGGGGGAATTTCTTAGCAGCTGGTTCATTTATCCGAGCGGTTATTGGTCCAATTTTTGGCTGGTTCTTTCGTCTTTGTTACCATGTGACCACGATGCATCAGAGTGATAGAGGTCATATCGCATTGACATACTAAGATGCGTGGGCATATAAGGAAGTAAAAGCATGCATGAACTCGAGACTTGAAAAGCTGGGCAGAACTATCCGTATTATGCAAAGGTGGAGGGGAAATCGAAGATCGAATAGGATAACCTCAGAAAGATTTCTTGCGGCCTCAAACTTTCGACTTTTCTTTCCACCCTTATGTCTCACCATGATCACTCATCAACAGATATCAATGTCCATGACGAGAAATCAGACGATATGTCATCCAACGATGTCGTCTCAATACCCGGGCCCAAACATATGGTCATAGCTTTGCTATCCGGTGGTAAAGATAGTTGTTTCAACCTTCTTCACTGTCAAGCCAACGGACATGAAGTTGTGGCCATAGCTACTTTGATACCGGAAGAAGGGGTGGGTGAGTTCTTTCTCTGCATATTCCCTTCAATTCTCGAACATCAATTTCCCTCATCCTCCTCGTCCTCTGACGTAGACGTAGACACTCTGTCCCTTATTGAACCACGACATCTATTCGACTAACCATCCAACACCATTTTTTGGACTGAGTGATGAGGGGAAGCTGAAAGTACAGACGAACTAGATTCACATCTTTATCAATCAGTCGGTACACGATTAATACCGTTCATAGCCCAAGCATCGGGTTTACCTCTCTACACACGCGTGATCCGCGGGAAAGCTCTGGAGAGAGGGGCGGAGTATGGTAGTCGTTCTCATATCGCAGTCAATGAAGGGGAGGAGGGGGATGAGACTGAAGATCTGTATGAACTATTGAGAGAGGTTATGGTATGTCTTTCTCATCGGATCACACCAACTTGACAGCTATCTACAGTAGTGAGGGGAAGCCAAGAATGTGTCGCGGAAGTACACAGAGGTGGCTTATTGGTCAGGACCAATGAGAGATAACTGACTTATAGATAGCTCATCCTGAAGCCACGGCTTTGTCCTCTGGAGCCATATTATCCTCATATCAACGTCTGAGGATTGAACATGTTTGTTCCAGACTTGGTCTAGCATCACTTGCCTATTTATGGCAACAACCCCAGTTATCCTTATTGGATTCGATGATCAAATGTGGGATGGAAGTTGTAATCGTTAAAGTGGCCGGAGTGGGTTTAGGGGTAGATGTTGTGGGTAAGAGGTTAGAAATGGTATTACCACTTCTGAAACGACTCGTAAGTTCTCACACTACCACTCATTTCATTTCTTCCTAACCATACTATATGTTAACAGGTTCTCACTTGGGATCTATATTATCGAATCTCTTTACAGTCAGACATACCTCTGTCATCTATCATGATACGCATTTTTACTTTGCGTAAAAGCCAAATGGGAAATGGTTGATAAACAGGAAAAAGAATATGGTTCTCATCCCGCTGGTGAAGGAGGAGAATATGAAACAATCACTCTTTCTTCCCCTCTGTGGTCACACCGATTAAATATATTATCATCCGAAGTGATAATCACCGATCCTGAACCTTATCCCGTGGCATATCTTCGAGTCGAAACTGCCGAAATTGAACCCAAGGCCGGTTGGAGTAAACCGAGTGTCAGGGAGTCAAGGAACATGTTGGGATTACCTTCTCCTGAAAGTCATCTTCTGCAATACAAATCAGACGAAGAGGATGAAGAATCAGAAATGGCAGAAGGATCTGTGCTGCTGGGTAGTGAACCTGGTGGATTGGATCAACTCTCTAGGTCCATATATCGTAAAATTATCGTAACTCCATCAAAGGTTTTGCACTCATCCATGGTCTCTCCAATAGCCCCGACTGGATCAGAGGAACGAGAAAACCAAGGAACGCCCAGAGTTCATTTCGTAAAGAAAGGTCAATGGTTTGTCTTGTCCATCCAGGGACGGTCCCTTCCAGGCCAGTCTGTCGAAATGGAGCTCAAAGAAGCTTTTGAGTCCTTATCAGGTGAGCTAAATTCACTAGCATCATCTCTTTGATGGGTGAGAATTCGGAGAAACATGGGGATAGGTGGTTTGCGATTCAGAACTGAGCTAAGGAATAGTCAAAATGAAAGAAAATGGTCTTTCACTTCCTATTCACGCAACACACATAACTTTTCTCCTCTCTTCCATGTCTCTCTTCGTCGCTGCCAATGCATTGTACGCTACTTACTTCGGTACATCTCCTCCTAGTAGGGCAACTGTGGCTGTACCTCTACCACCTGGTCAGAGGGTACGATTGGAAGTAATCGGGTTTGATGACCGTTTCGTTGGATTTGAGGGGAGACAAGCTTTGCATGTTCAAAGTTTAAGTTATTGGGCTCCTGCGAACATTGGACCATATTCACAAGCTGTTATAGTGAGTATCATATTCTCTTTCTACTTCGACTGACTCAGTCACCGACTTATTACCTATCCTCCTTAAAGAGTCATCATAAACATTCCTCGTCGGCCTTGACTATGCCAAGTTGACAAAATTCGAGAGTTAATCTCCAGTAGAGAAGAGGGATGACGGGGAATTGGGAAGCGGGGAATGTAGGGAGGAAGAAAGAGGAAAAAGAATGAAGCTTATGACTAGGTCAATTCCCGTGTTCATCTAGCCGGTCAAATACCCTTACTCCCAGCTTCCCTCACAATCCCTATTCATCAATCATCGCATTCTCCATACGCCCTTCAATCCGTTCTAGCACTCCAACATGTCCGACGTGTACTCACTCTTTTAAGGGACAAATCATCAACCGGAGGAGGATGGGAAGGATGGTGCGAGTTAGCGATATGTTGGTGGGCTTCATCACCACCTACCGCCAGTTCTCCCCCGTCAGGTAACCCAGAGATGATAGTGGAGATGGAGGGAGTGGAGGTAAGCTGTAAAGCTTGGGAAATATGGGCGAAACAAGTATATCTTCTCTTCTCCCCTATCCTCTTCTTGTTTCTCTTTGACCCTTTTGTCCTCTCTTCTTCGCACTTCTTCACCCTCCGGTTCATTCCAGCATTGAACCTCCCACTCTATCGCATACACACATAGGGTGAAAATGCAAATATGACAAATGGAGAATGATGAGTATGTAGCTGATAAGAAGATGGATTGTTGTGAAACCCCTATCGTCTTCTTACAAGCTTCAGAACTCCCACGTGGGGCCTTGGTAGAATATCAAGTAAATTGGAATACCGGTCGACGTACTTTCTCACCTCTCAGCCCGAACGAGTCAAACGAAGGAAGTGGGTTTATCAGATCTAGTCTAGATGATGATTGTTTGACCCCCGATCAAGAGTTTGATGAGGATGAGAATATAGAGAGACTGGAGTCTAATTACGACCAAGAGACGTTAAGGGGGAAATGTAGCCACGGGTCGGATGAACGTAGTAAGTGGGAGATATGTATGTCAGATCCTATTGGTGGAGGTAGAGGCGTGTTTTTTCTGGATGGGACGATTAGTGAGGAAGTAAGAAGTTTGGTAAGAAAGTTAGGAGGAGTTAGTGTCAGAGTGTATTATACGCATCAGATCGATTTGACAACGAGTGAGTTTTCTTTCTCCCTCCCCCCTTCTCCCTTACATCTTCTTTCGATAAGATGTTGATTTAAATACATGTGCCTTCGGATTCATCTCTTAGGTGTTGTATGGCTTGTTGAACATGTTTGGTCTTTCTTGCATATGTTGAAAGTCCGGAACGATTTCAAGAAGAGGAAACTGGTGGATGCTTGGACATAAGATATACTAACTTTTAGTACAATCGAAACTTCCAGATATCTCCAACACGTGTATCACTTTCATTCCCGTTTTGAGTATCCATGATCGTCATCTCAACTTTTATCCTTTAGCGATGGATATTTTCATACCATGATTAAATACAATGATTGAAATGCATATCTCCATCTCTACATCCTCATCATTCTCCGTAGATCTCTTTACCTCTCCTCACTTGATCTTCAACACTTGATCTTCAACAAGAAAGCAAGTAAGGTGGACAAGAAAGAAGCAATGATAACCAAGGAGAAATCAAGAATCATCCTTGGCCCTCTTATTCTCTTCATCCTCTTCCACTTCTCTAGCTCTTTTCCTAGCTAAAAACCTTTCCTTAGCTTCTTTCCTTCTCCTTTCAGCTTCACCATCATCACCTTCCCTTCTTTTCCTAGCTTCTTCCTCTTCTTTCAAAATCATTTCCTCTCTTTCTTTCTCTCTTCTCAATTTATCTTCCCTCATCTGTTCGGCCAACCTTTTCTTCTCCCTTATCATCCTTTCTTCATGACTCGCCGCTGTTCCTACAGCCCTACTGATATATGGTCCTTCTATACTTGGACCTTTCCCACCGGTCAATAATGAAGTAGGTAAAACGGTTGGTTTTTTAGTGATGTTCAAACCTGCTTTAAGTAAAGATCTATTATCTACTATTTCACCATCATCACTCATTTCTACTCGTTTACCACTTTTAGAACTTGCTTCCGCTGCTCTTTCTTCGTCTGAAGGTCGTGATGGACCCATCTTGATATCGTTAGTGAGGGAGTTGAGACCAGAGGGATTGTCGTCGGATTGAAGAGATTGTCGAGCGAGAAATGGATCGTATTCTGCTTCTGGTTCGTATGTCTCGTCTTTCTTTGAAGGAGGTTTGATGGTCAAGGATGGACCGGGAGTAGAAGATGGATTATTGAGGGTGGAGGTGGATGACATGGCGGCGGCGTGTTTTGCGGCTGAATCGTCTAACATGGTTTTGTAAAATGCACTAAGTCCAGGACCTTTTTTACTTTTTCGTAGATTTTCTGCAAAGTCAGTTATCCTTTCAAAATGATACTAGCAGAAAAATGAATCTGTAATCTCTCCTAGCCCATGTCACGGTAACATATCTCATCCCGAGAGCTGAGCTATGATATAAAGGGATGAGTTGAATTCATGACAAAGTCGGATTTCGCATTCGAAGATATCCCATCATTGAGAAAGTCTTGGTGAGGTAAATGATGTGATGGAGGAGCAGCTCGTGTAGAGTGTAGGGAAGTTAGGGAAGATGTGTTTGGAGCGAGGTAAGTGTAAATCTTGAAAGTTGAGCTGTGAAATCCTTGACTCACCTTCCCTCACCCTCTCCTCCTCTTCAGCTTTCCTAACCTCTTCCATCTGTTTCTTATACGCTTCAGTGACAAACTTCTCTTTATCATCAAACTCATCCCCTTCTTTCTCTCTTTCAAGTTGTAACATCTTTTCCTCCGCTCTCAACCTATCCAATCTTCTGGTCTGAGCACTAGCTAAGAAATTCTCGATATATCTAGGTTTACGTTCTTCCGCTTCTATCTTTTTGACTTGTTCAGCAGCTCGTTCTGAAGCTTTAAGTTGATCATATACTTGGTCGTATTCGAATGCCGTTGGATCGAGGGAAAGAGCGTCTTGTTGAGCTTTACGTTCAGACCGAGAAAGAAGCGTTTCGCCGGGTTTTGCTTTCTTTCCATTTGGACCAAGTAGATTACTCGGTCCTGCTCTATTCGAAGTATTGGGTTTTTTGATGGTAGGTCCGTGAGAGGTGGTGGAAGGTGAAAGGGGGGGATCATCTTCCTCCGGGTCTGGAAAGGGGATTGGGGGTTTCTTCTTTGAGATTGATGTAGAGGTAGAGGAAGAGGAGGACTTGGCTTTGGCCATCAAGAGCTCGAGATTGGACGGCTGGGAGGTGGCGGGTGGGGGAGGTGGGGTTGAGGAGGAAGTTTTGGTTGAACCGAAAGAGAAGGATATCTTTGGGGGGTTGGGAGTTGACATTATGTATGAAGTACTGTTAGGGATACAATGGTGAAGTTCAAGATGTAACAAAGTGTGAAGACACCAACACCGCGTCACGTGATCACTATACATCCCCTCTTTCTCCTTTCTCGTTCAAATAAGCCATATGGGCCGTCAAGTACTACATACGTATATGACAAGGCGACCATTGCTATGCACTGCAAAGGTACATCCAAAGATACTATTCTTGGTGCTCTGCATCCGGAGAGCCTTCTGCGTCGACTTCGGAATCTATCCCCTCATCATCGACATCACTAAACTCAGGACTGATGGTGGAGGCGTTGACTCTCTTTCCGACTCCTGTCGTGCTTGACGATTCTTGATGTTCTTCATCATCTCCACTCCCGGTGTTTGTGTGCATAGAAGCGGGCGGCTGAATAGTGCTGCTAAGCTCTGTCTCCACTTTGACGATGAGATCTTCAATAGTAGTGGTCAAGAGTTGAGTCGTGAAGTTCTCGCCTGGATGAGTCTTCTTGACCAGTTCATGAAGCCACGTGCTGGCATCGGTTGCCCCAGTCAATGCAGACGTCGGTTTCTTATATCTAACTGCGAAGCCTTTCTTTTTTAGGCAAGTGTCAATGTTGGCTTGACCTGCTTCACATGCCGTGGTCATCGGATCTTTGCCCCTCGCTCTGAGTTTCACACTTCCCTGCTTAGCTGACAAACACCACTGTTTCATATTTTTATGTATCTCGTTTAGGGTGTTTATATCTGGGTTCTCGCTCTCTCTGGCATCACGGAGTGTTGACGACATGCTTTGTACTTATTAGCAAATGTTAGATTTTGATTGATGGTGGGGGAAAGAGACGGATAGAGACTCAGTAAGTCAAGGTTATTCAACCTCAATCCCTTCGAAAATCGTATCCTTTCATCGACCACCAACCCCGCGTCAAACCTCGAATGTTATTCTCATGACGCTACTAAGTCTAACGATTCACTGTCAGACGTGTGAAAGAGGAGAAAGCGATGACGGATCTATCCCACACGGAAGAATTAGGAGTTTTGTTCGAAATGGTCTCACGTCCGAGATTCGAAGCGAAATCAACTCCTCTCACGGTGTCGATATCGATCTTTTTTCCGACGATTACTAATCGAACACTCGTTACTCGGTTCATATGTCACTAGGCCATGCAAATTCTCAGGATAGATCTTTCGTGGATGTTTGGATCACTCAGGGTCAGTCAAGCTCAAGTAGATCGTGAGTACAAATCACCTACACATTACTACTTATCACTATCATCTCGTTCATCTCTCTCGTCATAATTCTCATCGGACCGACTCATGCGTTACTAGCTTCCCTGGTCTTTTCCGTTTTATCAAAAGAAATCCAGTATCTCTCTCCATCGCTCCTCCATGTCCGCCCTCCACAATGCAAAAGCATCATTTTCTGCTCTCATACGTATTGCAATTGACTCACTTTGATCTCCTCCTGCTGTTCTAGAACTCGGTTGGATATTACTGTGGGTCGACTGAAAGGCCCTCACAGGACTACTCATAAAGTATGTGTTTGAGCGATCAATGCAAGAATTTACTGCGAATGTGAGGGATTCCGAGGAGATATTACTATTCGCAATCCCAAAATCCTTGATGAACCTCTCTTGTGCTGCAAAAGATGCTTTATAATCTGGATCTGTGGTCATGGGAATAGTCTTGGTTGTCAGCTGAACGGTTTCAGGAAGAACCCGAGACAAATGGTCACGGATTGTTGTTGACATCCTCTGGTAGAAGCCAGTGATACGCATTGCATCTTCTATTGCTAATCCAGATACGCTGACAAGTCCAAGCACTTGTCTATTCGCTTCGATATGTGGCAGTATATCAATAAGAGCTCTGGTAGCATCGTCCATCTTAATCTCTGACATGGTGAATAGAATTCGTGAGAGGGGAGGGTGGTAAGGAACATCGAAACCTGATATATTCGTTCTCAGAATCACTCCATCTTATTCCTCCTCCATCTTGTTCCCACTCCATCTTTTTTCCACTTCATCACGTTCCCACTCCATCTTGACAGCTCCACAAGAAGATCCTCGAGTTTTTACCCCAACCTCTAGATTCCACAGACGTCATTTCACGATGTGAGAAGGACGTAAGTAGTGATGATGAATGTGAGGGTGTGGTGGAGCACAAGGAGATTAAATGTCGGGGCGGGAACGGAGAAGGATTACCGGGGGGGGGGGGGGGAGAGTTTCGGATCAGGGAGATTTGTGGTGCATGAAGAGCGTCTTCGTCTCATGAGGAATGACTTGTAAGTTGATACTGTATGATTCATTAAAATGTTGATTCTGACCGACCAGGACCTACCCAAGATTGAGCGTTTGACTTGCCTCCCCCTGCCTTCGTGTCGACGACCCCAATCGATCGTTTCACCCTTTTCCGATTTTTGAACGGTCGCATGGATACCTTCCAGGAATTTGGTCAAGAGATTACCTGGATTTACTCGAGCTCAATATCACGACATGAGTCATCGACGTATCAAGTACTATCACCATCCTTTAGATCTTTATGCGTCCCCATGGACAAGTTGCGGGAGGGAGGGTCATTAGAAGTTCTAATCGAGGGTTCATTACTGCTTGCCCCCCCCCCCCCTCCCCTCCCCCTCCGAGGGCGTAGAACATGTCGATTTGGTGAGGTTGGTGACTACTACTTGAGACTGATCGGAAGTACTTAACTGACTTGCAGTGCCTACTATGCGACATGGAGCCTGTGTCAGAGGATGTCACACGATCACAAAGCACTGAGGACGATTGCACGGGCTTGGAGGATGAATAGGACAGATCACGCAGAAGAGGTTTATAGCGGGGGATTAGTAAAGTGTAAGTAAGAATGATCACTGGCGCTCATCACTATCGTTTCATTCGTCTCTCTCAACATGACCCTCATCAGCTGACTCTACGTGCCAATCAACTTTCGAGTCTGACGCGGACTCCCTATCCCTCTACGGATCTATCCGAAGGCTGCTGCGCCGAGATCAAATCAGCTTCTTCTTCCGCTTCGTCTATTTTCGTGGACTCAGGTGAATCCAGGCGTTCTTGTCCTCCACCTGATCCAGAGCTTGGTTGTGTATTCTCAGGCAACTGAGAAGTTTGCATCCCTTGGATGTTCTGTTTTGAGTTGGCAATGCAAATATCTATTGCCTTTGACAACAGTTCTGTAGGCGTGTTCGAACGCGTCTGCTCGGAGGGAATATATTTTAAGACAAAATCATACATTTGGTTTCCGACAACCGAATAAGCCTGGTTACTTATGACTGCTCTGGAGGATGAGGGTGGAGGATTGAGAGTGGTCTTCTCCCTCAAATGGCAACGAATCCTTTTGGAGAGTTCCTGCCAGACATCAAGGGTGTTCTGCTGCTTCTCCCCTAGTGGGTGCTGGGAAGCAAAACTGTGCACGTTGCTTATGCTATCTTCTATGTGTTGCAATGTGGAACAAAGTTTCTGTGTGTCTTCGTCCATCCGTGCCACGGCAGATTCGTAGTCCGTTCCTGGCATGACAGATTGAGTGTTCATCTAGTTCCTGGTAGTTTGGACGGTTAACGAGAACGGTGGTGACGGATCACCCGGTTTGCTATTTGTACTAAATCCCCCCATCTCAACAACCTGCAAAGAAGACTCTCGAGTTTCTGACCTTTGTAGTTGGCTCATAGCATTGGGTAAGATGATCTCACAATGATATGAATGGAGCCGCGTGAGGCTATACGTGGGGCGATGTGGTCAATGAAAGGAGCGTCAAAAGTCAAACACGAATCTCGAAAACATGACTTCCAAACTCTCGGACGGATCTCGACGTTTTCTCACGATTCGGGGAAGCGATGCAGATTCATGATGATGTCATTCTACACTGGACTCACTCCGCTTCTCTCTCTCTCAATGTGTATCCCGACCAAGTATCCTCAATCCTTTTCATCCTCCGAGTCTTCGCCCTTCCGTCCTGAAGTCAACAACGCAGACGTAGGTGTACCGCTTAGAGCTTTAAGTTCTCTTCTCCGTTTCACATCCCACTGAAAGTCAGTTCATGTCAGTCGAGGTAATGAAGAAATAGGATGAACTCACATTATGAACCCTAGCAAAGTTAACTTCCATTACCGTCACTTGTTCTCTTATCCATTCTAAATCTTCGATCACCTCCTTGAGACTTTGTTTCGCGGCTGATAATTTATCCGATAGTAGTTGTTCGGCTTCTGCTAATGGATACATGAGCATTGTGTTTGCCTAATGTAAGCGTTGTACGTTCGATTTTCCATATTGGTAGATTCTTTGGGGTGGCAATTTGGTATGTGAACGTTTGTTATATGAAGGAAATGGGAAAATGTTTTGATAAAGGAGATGAATGACTCACTCCGAGCCATATTCCAACTTCATCCGTCTCTTCTAATTCTGCCTCAGCATATAAAGTATCATTCAATTCGAACAAAGTCTTCAACTTTGGTTTTCCTTTCCTTTCTGATCCTTCACCTTCTTCTTCTTCTTCGCTCAATTCATCTGAATCTTCTATATCAGAATTCTCAGAATCCGAAATTTCTTCTCCTAAAGCTTTCCGTCGTCTGGTACGGAGAAATCGTACGACTGTGAGGGTTTGTTCGATATCGGGGATTTTCGATAAAAGAGCTTTACGACGTTGTTGGAGGGAGAGTTCCATGTATCGGTATTTCCTGGTATTTTAGCTGTCTTCGTAAAAATACCACAGATAATTGTGTTAATGAAATGCCAAAGTTTCAATGAGCTCCATGTCGGAGGTGGAATCGTGGGGAAACGAAGAGCTTGATGTATGACGGAGGATGTCTAGCATTGGGATTGGACAGACTGATCAACACACGCAGATGTTTCTTGGAAAGCCTTTACAGCATTACCTACATCCACATTCGGTCCACCAACATATTCTTCCACATTGGCCTATCATCAGCTCTCCTGTTCAATCCGACGTAGATAGTCTTCGTTCCGATTGATCACGCCCCGTCCATCGAGAACAAACCCCTATTCTGACCTATAGTACTCAGAGATCCATGATATCTCTCCTGACCCGATGGAGATACCATCCCATTCCCGTACTAACATGATTGATGGACAAGTGACTGAAAAGACACAAGAGTGAAACCACATTCCTACCCGACCAATAGATCCGGAAAAGGGGCGGAAGGACAACTCACCACAAACGGGGCTTTTGGTATACCTCTAGGATTCAACTCCATCTGTTGTTTAACTATCTTTGAGGAAGAAGTCGACATGTTTCTTTGAGTCTATAGCGAGAGATCTGATTCAAAAGTAAAGTCGAACGGTGAAAGATGCAATTTGAAATTCCTTGTATGGGTGGTTACGTAATTAAAGAACGGCCGTGCGGACAAAGTGTCATACATACATGTGTAACAAGTTGTGAAATGCATCGTATGGTTTAACGTACAGCAAGTCTAACAAAGATGTGAGTAGTAATAATTGACGACTGATTAGATGCTGAATATAATCTATGATCTAAGAGATAAGAGATACCAAGAAATTGAAATGACAGAAGATTTGGAATGGGTTTTGTTATAATTTTGCCCGGACACGTCTTTTTGCCCAGGCTTCAGATACGAGAGGGACCAATTGACTTTTGATAACTTTACCATTGATGTTACGTGCTGTATCTCAGTGACGTTGATGAAATCGTCTTACGAGGGAGAAGGGGAAGCGAGGGACTTACGCAAAGTACCAGGGAGGATGAGGACGATGACGGGTATTGCATGTTTGCTAAGTCTTGTGTATCAGCCAATCTCCTCTTTGTTCCTGCTACATCGTTGACCTCTTTGATACGTCAAAGGGCTGCTGTCCTCAAGGAAACACTGGACGTGAAGAGTCGAAGTGAGAGGCTTCTATCGATCGTCGAGAAAGTGATAAGCGTAGATGTGGACAAGGAGAGGGGAGAGAAAGATACTTGCCTAGTTGCAGCAAGACGTATCAACTCCCTTTCGTCCGCCACTTGTCCTTCTCTCAGAGTCACTGCTACTCCTACGAGTTCTCCCAAGAACGAATCGGGTATTCCTACGGCTGCCGCTTCGCTTACTCTTGGATCAGCATATAGGGCGTTTTCAACGTCGCTGGATGGGATCTGTAAGTCAATCCCATAGTTCTGAACCATTGGGCACAGGCACAACGTGGAGGTTTTGACACCGTGAGAGGTGGGTCAAAGTGTCAAGCGGATCAGTGAATGAACTTGATAAGAAGTAAAGAGAGATTCGGCGGTACTCACGTTTTCTCCACCACGAATAATGATATCTTTTACTACTCATGAGTTCACATCACTTGCCTGTAGCCTTACATCGATCTTTGATATAGACGAAACCTTCGGCATCCACACTGGCCCCGTCACCAGTGTCAAGCCAACCTTCTTCGTCGATAGCTTTCCGAGTGGCTTCTATCCATCAGCTCGCCGTTCAGCATTGACCTTTCTCAGTGTCTTATGGGGAACGAAGCATAAGCAGGGGCAATAATCTTTCCCTCAGCGCTGACCGTTGAACTGATCTCGTTGCTTGAGATGTTTTGTTGAAGCGGAATGTTCAAGGGGAAGGAAACTTCGTAGGAAGTGAGGCAAGAGATGACGTAAACCGAAAATCCGTCCTCACCCTCATCATCATAATAACATTTCATGACTTGCGGTCCCCTGACCAACAACAACCCCGTAGTGCCTATCGGCAATGGTTCTCGGGTTACTGGGTCGACTATCATCGTATCTGTCACAGGAACCGGCGGTCCCCTCTCACATCAACACTTGTCTTCTTGAGACGCAGCTTGACTCACGTGCTGTCAGGCTATCGACATCAACTCGGTTCTCGACGGCAGATAGAAAAAAGCTTCCCACTCACTCTAGCTAGGTAATCACCACCAGCGATAGAACACACGTATGCATTAGTTTCTGTCAAACCATATCCTTGGACCCTATACATCAGCTTGATCACGAAGCGGTGGAAAGCTTACAAGCCGGCTTTAGGCCAACGGGATTTGATCTCTTTGGGGAGTTGATTACTTGGTGGAGCCCCTCCATAGAAGACAGTCTCCGGGACGTGTGTCTGAGGTAGATGTGAAGATTGAAGGATAGCAGAGACGACAGCTGGGACACTGAGCATTAGTTGTGTGGCCTAAAGACATCGTGGCATCAAAGAGGATAAGATGATGCACAAACTTACCCGCCGATGACTGTCACTCCTTCGCTTTGAATGACACGTATGGCTTCTGTCGTACTCCATTTAGGTAGGAGGACCATCTTTGAACCAGCAAAGAAAGCTCGCATAAGCCATGAAAGACAGCCTGTGACGTGGAATAGGGGTATAGCGAGGAGGACTGTTCTTTGCGGATGGGAGGGTTGAGGTAGTGGTGGAATTGGTAGTCCTGCACGAAGGGCAGCTCTGGCAGGTGCTAATGATCAGTATACTCTGCTTTCGACAGGAAATGACACTTCCTGGTCATGATTCACAGAGATGATGCATCCCTCACCACCAACACACCTCGCCACCCATTATCCCCTGATTGTAGCAGCGCCGTGACAGAACAGTGAATGAGAGGTGAGGGAGGTATAGCAGGTAGTTAGAGCTTGGACCACTCACCAACAAGACCCGACCAGATATTCGTCAATGCCATTCTCTGCGTACTCAAAACTGCCTTCGGAGGTCCGCCAGTTCTACCCATCAGCAACGTTATCCGCAAAAATGGACAACTCACCCAGAAGTGAAGAAAATGACCGCATCCGACTCTGGTCCGAGCGACTCAACTCCCTTTCCTCTCAACAAACCGTCTCGTTCGGCGGCGGATATAGTTCTGACAGCATCTTGCAAGCTCTGTGATTTGAGCTCAGGTGACCAAAGATAAACGTAGACTTACAGGAAGTGTCGTCCCCGAGCCCCAACAGTATGACTGATTGTCAGCTCAAGCCAGACCTTGTGCTTGGAGCAGGCATACCTCTATTCCCGACTGCTTCAACGAGGGTAATGAGTCTACGAGATCATCCGCTCGTTCTTGGTCCATCAAGACTAGAGCTGGTCGGGTTTTGATGAGACAATGTTTCAGTTGTTCCACCGGTCTAAAATCAGCTCATTGCCTATCCTGGGATTAATGTTCAACTCACAACCATGCATTGACACATACGGAAATACCGCCGATAATCTGGACCGCAGTGAAGGCTATGATCCATCTGTTTATCAACATTCAGTCATCAAGTGGCAGCTTCATCATTCTCTTAACCAGTCCAGGGTGTCGAGTCGTAAATTGTTGACGATAATGGAGAAAATGTTTCGTGAGATAGTCAGGAGATGATAAGGAAACTCACTCGGGACAATTCATACCCACTATCCCAACCTTACTACCTAATCCCAAACCTCGTGAGCGCATCCAAGCTGCCAATTCTAAACTTTTCTCCATCACTTGACCATATGTCAAGTATTCCCTTCCCTGAACGGATGGAAAAGAGAGGAATATCCTCTCGTGGTAGGTAGTCATTTTGTCAAGCAGAGATTCTCGGAAAGTCCTAGGTGTCTGGCATATGTCAACGCGAGTCACAAGACCAGAGAATTGAAGAGATTCAGACGCGTGGCAGACCTCAGGGAGGAGCATGAGCTGTGTATCCGCACGGGATACTGTCCAGTACAGAGGGTGGCAGAAGTAATGGGGACACCTCGGCGTTGACTGATATTCTACCTCATACAAACTTAACATCTTTTGGTTGGTTTGAGACGGAGGTGTCCCATTTCTTCTGCCACCCTCTGTAGATACGACTTCAATATACAGGACAGTCACATGGACATATGAAGCATTCAGTTGATCAAGTCAGGGGGGAAGAAGAGAAGGGGTAGATGATATCAGATATGAATGTCAAGCTTCAAGGGACCACGTACATTCTTCCAAACCCTTACTCTCCTTCCATGCAAAGTCAAATAATCCATCTCCAATATCTGACCTGGAGCAGTCAAAATCCTATCACCTTTCCATCAGCTCCTTCTCCCTCTCCTTGTTCCAATAGCTCACATTCCGCAATGGACAATTGTCTTTTCACGCCTTTAGAACCCATGATTTCTCTCTAACCCTCCGAGGATATCTTACCCTCCAGCAGAAGAATAATCGCAAGAGACTCGTACCAGCGAGTCTACCTCACAGCATATAGCGCAAAGTAGAATATGGACAAGTCGTAGATAGAGATCTACTGTATGAATCCTGGGGAATTTGAGAAATTGGGAATTTGGGGAAGGAATTGTCGGACCCGAAAGATCGGACTTCCGATCGTTTCTTCTGACCACGTGGTACTTACGTAAGTTATCCTCGCCACCAAGTACGAAAACGTTTCAGATTCCTTTCAGTGTCACCACACACCCATAAATATTCATAGAACAGGAAGAGCACAAAGAACATACAGTACGGCGTTCAGACGGTTAGGCTGAGTACAAAAATGACATCCTTATCAAGGTCTGTCCGTGTAATATCGTTACGAAGAAATTTACATCATAAACCCTTCTGTATACCCGCTTCTACCCTCCCACGCTCTTTTCGTCAAGTCACTATGGATGCTCGATCCGACAAGTATGATCCTTCATCACCTATCACCTTACCCTCTGCTTCAGACTCGACCGTATCTTCTTCGAGCTCAAACCGTTCCTCCTCATCTTCTTCCTCAAATCTCGATCCAACACCACCAGACTCATCGTCTTTCATCATTTCAACATCCCCTGATAGATCATCAACAAATACAAACTCCCCAGGCCCTTCTAAACCCCTTCCTCCGTCTCCTTCAGCAACTTCAGCCGGAGTGGACGTAACCGACCAGAAAAAATCAGACCAAGTGGTCATTTCCACCTTACCCCCGTTACCCGATCTTCCACCACCACCGCCTACTCGAACGCAACATCCATTTGACACACATGCATTTGTGACGTATTTGGAAAAAAGTCAATTGGAGCCGGGTGTGGCACGGACTTTGATGCAAGCTGTAAGAGAGTTGATTGTGAGGAGGGGAGATAGGACTAGGGAGAGTATGTTAGGGAGAGAGGATATGGAGAATGTGAGTGGAGTTTCTTCTAACTACTTTTCTCTCTTCCCATCCTTTGTTTCCTTCCCTCATGTCAATACCTTGTCCGGATCCGTCAAAGTCAGGGGTCGTGGATTTGCCAGTGGTTGGAGTGATGATCAGAAGGCTTTGACTCTCAGAAGGAAAAGTCGTGACGAACTCAGTTGTTCAAGAGATTGGATATCAATCTGATGGCAGGTCGCTTATCTCTTTCGTGCCGCCTTGTCAGAACTCAGGACGGAACTCTCTGTTAGGGCGAGAAACGATGGCGCCGCTTTGAAAGCTATGGCTGGAGCTATACGGAGAGAGGTTGATCAGTTGGAGCAGAAGATGAAAGAAGATGTGGGGACTTTAAAGCATGAGTGGGTTTGTGCTTTTTTCTCCTCGTGCCTGAACAATCTTCTACATCGCGTAGTTTGAATCTTCTTCCACTTCGGTCTACAAACGTCCATGGCTTTTTGGGAAGACGATTGACTACACCATCGTTGTTTATCAAACCTCAACGCATATGATACATCCTCGATTCGGTTGAGACATCAGAGAGACATGCTGACATCACAGCATCGAAATGGACATGAACAATCGCAAAAGCGAGACGCGATCAGAGCTCAAGGGATTTGACATTGCCATTGAGGTGAGATCTTCCATTGGTTGTCTGCATCGTATAGCCCAATCTTTATCTCATATCGATCGTTGCCTTATTGGGACAAGCAATCTCACCAGAACGTTGAGTTGCGAGCTGACGAATATAGGAAATCAACAATAAATTCACCATTTCTCTTGGAGATTTACGAACAGAGATCGAATCTGCCAAATGGGACGCCACACGTCGTGCGATCGGTCAGTCCTTCATTTACCTTACCTGGTGGAATGTATCCCGAACTCCAACAATCATCCACATCACATCACCTCATACGCATACCTCATTCGGTCACGGCTGACATGTAGCCATCATCGTGCTCATCGTAGTGTCTGCCATTGGCGTCTCCATGGTGACTACAGGTCCTGACAAGTCAACCCCACCGCCACGTCCCAAACCCACTGTGATGCGTGACGTCGCAGTGGGGACGGAAGACGAGCCTCTGGGATTGGAGTTGGACGAAGAGAGGTTGGACAAGTTGTTAGCTGAGTCTGGTGTGGGTAGACGGTTGACAGGACAGAAGAAGGAGAAGACAGAGATGGACCGTATTCAATAGGAGTGGTAGTTGTGGTCGTGATTTGTACGTGTACATAGTAGTAGTATACACCTAGTAAATGCATCGGCCGACAAGCGGCGAGGTTAGGTACCCGAGAGTAGAGCCGATAGCCGATTCAGGGCAGTGGCAATTGCGACTTGTTTTCCCTTAGTGGCACGATATTCCCTGGGCACTTTTGGGGTCGTCTCTATCTTCTTTATTCATGTGCATAGAGATAAGTAAGTAGACTATTAGTATTTTACTGCATCTATCGTGGGGCGAGTATCGGTGTAGTGGAATACAATAGTTGTGACGGTCAAGTGTGAGTAAGAAAACCAAAGGAAAGGATCGACCGAGAATTTCCGGAGACCCAAACACGGCGTGTTTCACGGAATTTTCATCGTACCACTTTCTTGTCGTTCCACTGCCAACCTTTGTCTCTTGTATATCTTTTCTTTCTCACTACTCTCACTCTCTTTGCCACTGCTCTTCAGCTACATTTTCACCACATCTTCACTCAATCACTACATAAATCACACACCGGCACAACCGACACCCAACAAATCAACACCCAACGCTCAACGATTCAACAAACCTCAAAGCAATGGACGTAATCCTAGAACTTTGCGACCAACACATATTCGATTCTCTCTACTCTCATTTCCTTCCCAATCCTTCTATACCTTTATCTCTATCACATCTCAATACAACTTCTTTACCTTCCTCTTATTCATCTTCAACGACATATCATCCTTGCCTTCAAACCGAATCAAAATGGCCACGCGATGATATAACAAGACAAACAATATCAATATTCTTAATCGCAATGTTTGGTGCATATGTTTTATATTTCTTATTCTCTTATATCTCTTATCAACTTTTATTCGATAAAAGATTAAGACATCATCCTAAATTTTTAAAAGATCAAGAATGGTTAGAAATCAAATCTTCTTTGATTGCCGTACCGACTATAGACGTTTTGACATTACCTTGGTTTTTAGGTGAAGTTAGAGGTAAAAGTATGTTGTATGAAAAAGTTGAGGATTACGGTTGGATGTATTTATGTTCATCAGTGATTTTGTATTTGGTTTTCACGGATTTTTTAATTTATTGGATACATAGGTTAGAACATCATCCGAGGGTTTATAAATATATACATAAACCTCATCATAAGTGGATAGGTGAGTTTTTTCAATTTCTCTTTTCTATCCCATCATTAATTCATCATCTCTTCGTTACATTTGCCTATCGTTTATCTTTCTTTCAGTACTAGTCATAATTTCTGATGTTCCTCTTTCCCAAGAGGAAATGAGGTTGAGTGTTTTCGAAGGTGTGAGGTAAAAGATGCTAATGTATAGTCCCCACTCCTTGGGCGGCTTTGGCATTCCATCCATTAGATGGTTATGCTCAATCTTTACCATACCAGTGAGTAATTCTCATACTCTCATCTTGTGTCTTTACTATTTCTCCTTTCCCCCCCTCTTATCGTCACCACCTTTCTTCCCCTAGCCGGTCCTTCTTATTGCCCTTTCACTTCACCCCAGGGTGATCCACTGTCTGTCAGAAAACGTCTCCTCTCAACTGAAGTTGTAAAGAGAGTATAGAGCTCACACCGCAGCATATTCGTATTCCTCTTCCCTATGCAAAAATACGTCTATCTCACCCTCTTCGTCCTAGTCCAATTATGGACAATCATCATCCACGACGCAGATATGATCACTGGTTCATGGTGGGAAAAATGGTTAAATTCACCTGCTCATCACACTCTCCATCATTTATATTTCACATGTAATTATGGACAGGTGAGTTAAACCTTCTTTTCCTCTTTTTCGGACGCCATCATCTGCCCCACAATCTTACAACCCCCTCTGGCCTCTGACCGAATCATCCACTTCAGTTATATTGCTTGCTTTCGACATTGTCACTGGACAAATTCACCACTTATCATAATTTCTCTCCACATATCCCACATATGGGACAGTAAGACTCCGCTGGACCGAGTATCGCTAACGAACAGTACTTTGTATGGGCCGACGAATACTTTGATTCACATCGAGCCCCCGAACAATCTCTCGACCCAATTCATGAATCTCTTCGAATGATGAAGAAAAAAGGTTTGATAGATGAAGATGGTAATGAGATTCCGCAAAATGACAAAAAAGGACAATGATCTTCCGACTGAAAATCCGAATCTCGGCCAATGTGAAAACTGCTGCACGCTGCTTTGCAAGAACAAGAATACCCATCTGCTGGTCACGGTGGTCCCTAGTCTATCGATTCTTTCCCGTCACTCAGTTTCTCGCCTATCACCCCAGTGTGGGGAAGTGATTGCGTTGAAAACGCAAGTGGGGAGAGGACGGAGCTATGAATGATGTAAGAGGGATGAAGGTGGATGGATGTGGAATGTGGGAAGGGACTTGTTGGATTATGAAATGTACGATTATGACCCATGAGAATTGTGATGATTAAGGTGGGAAGGATGACGGTCGTCAGATGAGAGGCGGTGTCCAGGTAGAGAGGAGAGGGGAAGGGAGGAGAGGAGGAGAGAAGGGAGGAATAATGCCGATATAATTTATAGAAACCTTTTAGAACATTGTCCCTGCATGGATGCTCATTTTTTTTTTCTCTTTAGATGTAGACCATAGTTTGCATTCAAACCAGCTGATTACTTATATCATTTAAACGATCCGCTCGATCCGATTTGTGCTACTCGTACTCCTATCATCTCCCCAGTCTTCAGTCATGGACTACGACCATACCACAAAATCTGATACAACTCCATCATCATCATCATCATCATCATCATTCTCCATCGAGGAGAATCCATTGTTGAATGAAGCACTCAATCACGACCGTCGCTGACGATACAAAATATAATCCCTAACAGAGTTTAATGCTATAGGTGCCCTTAGTCGAAATCGCCAGAATAACAAAAAGTCATGATTGATACATCTCAGTGATTCATATTCCCAAACCAGCCCTTCTTCTCCTTCCACCCCAATTCCCACTGATAACCTCTTCATCCTCCTTCTTCTTTCCTTTTTTACCTTTCTTTTCCTCATCTATCAAACCTAAGGCATATCTTCTCTCACGTTCATCATCACTTAACTCACCATCCACGATCTCTGGTACTGACCCGGAAAGAGGTGAGTATGGAGGTTGAGAAAAAACCGATAGTTTACGACGACAGATTGAAGATCCTGTTTCTAGGTATTCTGCTCGGGTTATGGGAAGTGAAGGGTATGTGGATGATTGGATAAGGGATTGAGCTGCGTGGTATGGTTGAGAAGCTGGACTGAAAGTGAGTAAAAGGGTTTGGATACGTTTCTTTGTCTTGTGGATAGATCGTATGGAGTGAGCTATAAGAAAGGCAAGAGAAGGAGGGGGGTAGGGGATGTTGGGACAACATGAGGGAGGGGAAAGATAGAGTGGTTAAAGTGGGTTTGGTACTGTAGGTAGTATGATTGGAGCATTGACATCAGGAGGGATTATTACAGAGGAAGGGGAGTTGGAGGACTGAAACTCACTCGTATGCTTCAAATATACCTAGTTCATATTCTATCGGACATAACGCTCGAAGATCTCGTTCACTGTCATAAACATCTTTCTTATGATACTGCTCGTTTGCAGTGGCCACAAAGTACTCGATCAGTCTATATAATGAGGAGCAAAGTCAAGAGATTCCAGAGCATAGATATGTGAGGTCTAACTGACAGTCCAAGTAGTCGCAATGCGTAAGAGGGGGAAAACGTTGAAATACCGACTCACAGTCGCTCACCCAATCCTTCGATATTCCCCAACCCACCAAAAATACCAATATGAGCCCAATACATGCCTCTGACTTCCTCAGGCATTGCGGCGATCACCAAAGCTATCGTCTCAGGTATTCCACTTTGATTGATACCTATTATGTCAACTACAGCCATTTTTCGTGCTCCTGAACATTGCAAAAGCCAGATATGAGGAAAGGATTGAAGAGAAAGAGGAAGGAGGAAATCACCTATGTCAGAAGGATGGAATAAGAGTTCAGGTCCTAAGAACCGTTCATTACCCATCCATAATACTTGTTCTTCCTCCACATTGGCCCGCTTGGTCATCTCGGGCTTATCGGTGGATGTAGGAGGGTTCGCGTTGGGTCCGGATCGAATGTAACCTGTTCGAGAGGTAGAATTTGGTGAGAAATCAGGGAGTACGTATTCCTGTACTATCGGATTATGTCGTGGGTCACGTCTGAGTGTCAGATAGACGATACTGACATATATGGATCAGACAAATATCAACTGGCTCATGAGGACAGCGAAGTATGGAGATGAAGGAAAAAGTACCAAAAATTCTTGAAAACATAGGCAATGAGAGTGTCAGGGAGTTCGGAGGGATTACTCACTTGCATGCGGTCAAATCTGCTTTTAAATCCATACTGACATAACTGCATGTCTCACGGACGAAATTGACAACGTGTGTTTGGTCCATCATGTTCCATTGTCTAAAAGAGATTAAATGTTTGAGGTGATTGGTCAAGAGTTTTCCTCCGACATCTATCCTGCTGATCAGCAAAGTGATATCACTTGCAGTAGTCACGGCTGCAACGAGAAAGAGTATGACCTCTTACAGAACTTTATCAAGGAAGAAGTACTGGCAACCATAAACGAGCACGGATACAAAACTTACCGCTTGACATGATCCCAGATTATCTGACCATCTCGTAAAGGTATGACATGAGTGTACGAATATCCCATATCGATAAGGATGGAGCATGCAGGTGGTGGTTGAGGAGTAGGTGAGTCGGTTTCGAATAAACTACCATAAGGCATCAATGTCGCGGCTGGAAGTCAGTTTCACTAGCATGACCCTAGAGCTACATGTTATGACTGCAATGACCTTGGAAACGACAGCACGATATCGACACAGCGAATGAGATACGGAGATGATTTATATGACGACTTACGGGTACATCGAAAATAACTTTGAAACTCCCATTCCTCGAAGATCATCTGATCGTAGGTCTCGGCAATATTGGGTAGATTGAAATATGGTTCAGTTACTAGTAGACTGGTTTCAGGACATGTCATCTATGAATCAGTGCTCTGAGTTGTATAGACTAAAAGACTCACATTCATGACATCTGAAGAGAAGAGACGGTCCCAGATGATCTTCTCCGCGTCCCAACTCACCAGCATTCCCTGAGTGTGAGCATCCTTCCTGAAGCTGTTACTGTTACGTTGGTATTGTTACTCAACATCCATTGGGACTCATGTGTGAGAAGGCCCAGTTATTGACGAAGGCAGTCCCTCTGACCACAAAGATGAGTCGAAACGACAAGATACGCACTCTTTCAAAAGGTCGTCGATACACTATCCCTGATAAATCACGACATGAATCAACCTCATCCCCCACATATACCTTCTTATCCCCTCTAGACCTAGCTATAGAATTTGGGTATATCCTGACTGATCAGCTCTCGCAGACAATTCATGATACGCCAAGGTAACACGGGAGGATGACATACCGAGGCTCCCAGTCCACACCTGCAAACCCAGCCTTGATGTTATACGCCCCATTGTCGAGGATGAGGACGGGTGGGGAGGTCATCTTGTCATCGTTTGATGTGTTGGTGATATTGCAACTGTAGCATGTAGCATGTAGTATGGACTCGAGTTCAGTTCCGGCGGAAGCAGCTCGCACAATTTTGATTCCGTCCAATCGGCAGTCGGCCGAAATTCACCTGGATTCCCAAGTTCACTTCGACTTGTTCAACTCACAACGAAATGTCACAAAAAACGTGAGCTGGGAGTACAAGACATGATGACAAGCTTACGAATAGGTTCAAAATCACCATCCTACCTGGTGACGGCATCGGTAAGTTTTCTTAAATTCCCGTACTCACCTCTACTCAGAACTCATGCCTAGGTCCTGAAGTCACTGGTCAAGCCGTCCGGGTATTAGAGACCATTGTCAAACTCACCAAACTCCCACTCGAGATTACGTCTTGTGATTTTGGTGGGGTGGCAATTGACAATCATGGAAATCCCCTACCCGAATCGACTCTGAAAAGTTGTAAAGAGGCAGATGCTATCCTTCTCGGTGAGTGGTTTCCCTAGCATACTTCTTGCATGTTCAGAGCTGGCGGGAGGGATGAGAGACGAAGATGCTGATCATAGGTGCTGTGGGTGGTCCGAAATGGGGTGTTGGACCTGTCAGACCTGAACAAGGGATTTTGAAACTTCGCAAAGAACTCGGTTTGTTTGCCAATATTCGCCCGGCCAATTTCGCCAGTGAATCTTTGTTAAAACATTCACCTTTGAAAGAAGAGGTAGCTCGCGGGACGGATATTATAGTCCTTCGAGAACTTATTGGTGGTATTTGTGAGTCTCGATCACTTCTTCCTCTTCCTCCTCTTCTTCCTTTCCTTCGACTACTACTGGTCTTGCATCGAATTACTATTCTTCCCACGTACTTCGCTGGGCCCGTGCGTACGTCCATTACTTGGCACATCTCACCTTGAAAATTCTCCACTCCACCAGAAGGTCTCACAAGGGTGACACATGATTGTGATTTAGTAACGAGTACTATCCGATTGTCGAAAAATTCAACCAGACTGATTTCAGACTTCGGTGACCGACAAGAAACCGACTCGACCGGTACCGCCTGGGACACATGTATCTACACTATCCCAGAAGTAGAACGTATAACCCGTGTGGCTTGTCAAATCGCTCTGGCTGCCGATCCTCCTTTACCGGTACATTCGATAGATAAAGCCAACGTACTCGCTTCTTCGCGTTTGTGGCGTAAGACGGTTACGGAACTTATGGCAAAGGAATATCCTCAACTCAAGTTGGACCATCAATTGGTAGATAGTGCAGCTATGATCATGGTGTCAAACCCGAGGAAGCTGAATGGGGTGGTTTTGACTGAGAACATGTTCGGGGATATGTAAGTTTGTCACTCTATTCAATATCATCTGATGTTCCCCTGCTCGACATTTGGCTCTTCCCAGCGACTCGGTGTGATGAGTCATGTAGGTCCGCTCGACGAAAGATTTTGTCATTTGGCCGTGTGGGAATATATCGATTTGGATAGAAATAGTAGAAGATATGTCTGGATCGTCTTGTCAGGGGTTATATCGGACGAGAAGGTTGTTAATCTACAGTCTCTCAGATGAAAGTTCCGTCATCCCTGGCTCTCTGGGATTACTACCATCTGCTTCTTTGGCAGGTGCTCCTGATCCAAATGCTACCGTTTCAGGGATATACGAACCGTAAGTGTTTCCTTCTCACCTTCCATAACCCATTTTTCAAGTACCATTCTCATTTTTCATCCTTGCAGTGAGCCCTATCAAAATGGAATCTACCATGCTCGCTTTGTGCACCAAGAAGGAAGTGACATCACTCACTCACCCTACATTCCTACATCGAATAGACATAACAGAGGAAGATTTCCCGAAAACCTTGACCTACCCAATCACTTGTGCTTCGAGTATTTATCAAGTCATATGGCCTTGATGATACGTCTCAATGCACAGCGAATATCGTTAACGTCACAGAATCCACGGTTCAGCCCCAGATATCGCAGGTCAAAATATCGCAAACCCCATTGGAACTATCCTATCAGCAGCCATGATGCTTCGTTATTCTCTCGGTCGACCTAACGAAGCTGACGCTATCGAAAAAGCAGTGTCTAAAGTCCTTGATGGGGCACAGCAGGGAGGTTTTGATTATCGAACTCGTGATTTGGGTGGAGAGAGGAGTACGACTGATGTAGGGGATAAAGTAGTAGAAGTTTTGGAGAAGATGTTGGGGTGATATTAAAGAAAGGTATGAATAGTGACCGTCATACTCGAGAATCGAAATCTAAACTAAAAACGTACATGGTGGTACGGGTGGAAAGGAGATACGGAAAATGCATCTGTTCCATACGGTACTGTATATGGCTCAACCTTCCAAAGCACAAAAGAACCCTCTAGTAGTGGTGGACTCATGGGCGATGTTGATTCGAGATGATTATGACAATAACGTGAACAACACACAACACAGAGATTGACAAAAAGATCAGAACAAGATCTGGTCTATGGAGATGTTTCTATATTCTATTACAATTTCGCTTTCACCCCGAAGCCCTTAGAAGGAATATCTGAGTTTCCGTGTCTGACCTCGATATCCACCCACTCCTTCAAACAAGTAACGAGCCGTTCGACATCCCTCGAACTCATATCCGCTCTTAAACAGATCCGAATACGTTCCCCACCAGGTGGTACGGAAGGAGGGACGACAGGTCGGATGATCATACCTTTTTCCAATAAGAACGCCGAGAGACGATGAGGATGAGGGGTAAGAAGACCACAGATTGCTGATGGTGCATCGACGGGGGGTGAAATCCATTTGTGAGTTGTTAATGTTTGAATTGAGGAGCTCGATGCTGCTTCCCAAGATGAACTCGATGATGTTTGCTCGGATGTTGTTGATGGCTGAGATGAAGATGCTGGTAGGGAGATTGATAGGGATGTTGATCCACTGAGAGAAAGGGACGGCTGGGAGGGTTGAGCGGGCTGGGAGAGGAGATGATTGGAGGGTGGTATGGGAGATTTGGGGGGAGCGTGAGGAGATAGCGTTGAGATAAAAGATGTTTCATCATTGTCTTGGGATGATTGTTGAGAGGTAGAAGGGTAGGGTAGTCGTAAGACGTTAGAGGGGGTTTTTGACAGTAATTCGTTCAGAAGTTTATGAAAATGTTGGATGAGGGCGAAAAGTCGTCTTCGTCGCTACTTGTCAGACAATTCCTCGCTTATCAATTCACGGACAAATTGTCAGGATGAATGATTAAGTTAGTGGAGGCGATCTACCCTCTCATTCAGGAGTTGACAGACGAACAGCCGACAAGCGGGTTGACAAGTAAATGAAGCGAATTTAGAGTGAGATCCCACTGAGACTTCGCATATCAATATGAGGATCAAAGGTAGACCAGTGTACCGTGAGAGTACTAGATGATAATGAAGCAGTTGAAGTGGTGAAGATGAAAGAAGGATCACCCACTTCATCACCTTCTGAACTTTGCAACAAATCCCATGCACACTCTAAAGCGATAACAGTTGAATGAGGTAATGCCGTTGAGAAGATCAAAGGTCTAGCAAAGTTGATAAGAAAAGTTCGTATTGTCTCCGGACCAAGTAAAACGGCTAATGAGTTAGCTCAAGTGACTTCCTTAGTTTACGTCGGCATACTTTACAATCCCTGGACATTGAGAAGTCTAGGTTGGTGAATACGAGAGGTATGAGTATGACATAGAAGCATTGAAGGCGTCAAATGCGATGATGAAAAAGGACTGTCGGAAGTAAAGACTGCGGCATAATGGATGAAGGAAAACTAGGAGTTGTAGACTAAGAATTCTAAAAAGTGATAAGATGTGAAAAGACCTTACAGGAAGATGAGTTAGAGGACTAATATTATTTCAACTCACCTCCCGAACATCCAACAGCTTTTCCAAAAGTCATCAACCTCACAATCCTCTTATGTACACCAAGAGAATATGCCAAACCTCTTCCTCCTTTCCCATAAACTCCGGTGGAATGAGCTTCATCCAATACCACACATTGTCTATATGAAGGAACGAGATTATCGAATACTTCCAACATTTTCAATAAAGGACAAAAATCTCCATCCATGGAATAAAGAGATTCCAAAGCTAGAAAAATCGTTCCTCCTCCTCCATCTGTCCTCAGAACATCCCTCTCTATCATTTTAATTCTACCTCCTCCTTCCTTCTGTCCCTCATCTAGATGAAAGCCTTCTTCAAGAGAGGTACTGTTTGAAAGAGTTTCCTCGTCTTTCAGAATTTCCTCTAAAACACTTCTGAAATCCTCAACATCCCGATGTTTCATACTCCTCCTTCTTTCCTCTTCCACCCTAGACGCTCTGAGACCAGAATGAACACTAGCATGTACCAATTCATCATATATAACCCAATCATCTTTTTGCGGTACAGTAGCAAAGAAAGAAACGTTGGCGTCCCATCCTGAATTGAAGAGTAAAGCTGATGGTGCGTCAAAATGAGATTGAAGTCTGCTTTCTAAAGCTAGATGAGAGGGTGTACAACCTGATAAGAGTCGGGAACCGGTGGAGCCGAATATGTTCGGAGAGGATGAGAGGGTGTTTAGATAAGATGTTCGAAGGTTAGGGGATGAGGTGAGGGATAGGTAGTCGTTTGAAGACTGTTCAGTCAGTATCAAGCTGTGTCATCGGGCATTTTCAAGGATTCTGGAGGTTTGAGGATGAAGAAGGAATGAGTGGAAGAATTTTCTTATCCATTTGGAGAGAAAAAGAAGAGTGAGGATTGATCGTCATGAATGATAGATGACAAGAAAGACTCACAAAATCCAACAACGAATCAGTGGGATACACTTTCAGGCTCCTGAACCGACCTTTTCCTTTGCGCTGGTTGAGGAGTTTCTCCAAGCGGGACTCGAGAAGACTCATTCTGTCTCCTCGATCCTCTTGAAGCAGACGCTTGAGGTCGTGGGTCGTGGGGAAAGTGGATTGACACTGCAGCACCCGCAAAGTTCCTTGGGATCGTCGTTAGATGGTTGGACAGCTGGAATGGACGCCAATCCCATCAGAAATTCGCTTTCCCACGGTCGTTAGAGATTTTCCCAGCCAATTTCGTTCCCAGCCCAGAATTTGAACATATTAATTAATGCATATCTCTACAAGATTCCTAGTGCCTACACAAATGTCCATGTTTTTTTATGCCAACGAGGTCTCACCGGATGTCCACATGTGCCAACGAGATCTCCCCAACATCAGTTGTTGAAATTACCCCTCCACCTCAGTTGATAATCGCGATAGCCGGTCCGATGTTCGACGCGGCAGTCGCATCCTCCGCGCTGGCGAATGGTCCTTCTGAATCAGTGAGAAGGATCAAAGTCAAACCGTTGAGCTCGTGTGCGACATAGGGGAACTCGGCGGCGAAGATAGTCTGACCATCTTGCGTGCTGTTGGTGGTGGGAACGACCACAGGAACGTTTTGTTGGTTGATGTAAACGGCGTTGAGTGGAGCGGTCGAGTTGAGATCCGTCGTGGCTACGGAGAGGTAGATGGTGGAGTCTGTCGCATTGGGTGGGTTCAGGAGGGTGAGGGGTTTGAGAGTTTTGAGTTGGATATCTCCGATGTTAGGGCATGAAGCGGGGTCGACGAAAGTTTGGAGAATAGAGAAAGCGAGCTCGCGAGTGGATCGGGTGAGGAAAGGAAGTTCGTTGGGGATTTTCCCGAGGAGGACGCTGTTCGGAGTAAGCTTCCGGTCTGACATCCACAAGGGTCTCTCCTTCATCCACCACGAGGAGGGGTGTGAGGGATGTAGGATAGGGGACACGCAGGAAAGAAAAAGTTACGAAGATGAAAGAGTGTGGAAGGGTTGAGAAAGAGAGCTGAACTCACCGATACCATCCCTCTTGTTCACCTTCCTGCCCAATCACAGAGGCAATCGCACCAGTGAAACCCGCTTGTTCAGGCGTCTGAGCAAAGTTCACTATCACATCCTGCAATGTACCTAATACGACACTAGTGAAAGTAGCCGCAAAGTCGATAGCCTCGTACAAGCTGCTCACTGGGAAGTTGTAATTCGTGCAAGGTTGAATAGGATCAGCTCCGAAGTGTTGAAGAGCGCCGTTGGCCGTCAAAGCGTGAAGCTGCTCTTGTGCGACGGTAATGTTGATTTGTCGGATCAAGAATTCACTGTCCCAATCGTCCGGAATCTCATAACCGTCGATACCGTCCGTGATATTTCGGAGCAGCTGAACGAAGAAAAGCGTCTCGAAAATTTCGTTGAAAGCGATAACACGGAAATTGTCGAGGGAGTCAGAGGTGATATTAACCGGAGGAGTGGAATTTGATAATGTACCGAACGCTTGCTGTTCGATCTGAGCTAGTTGATCAGGGTTAGGATTGGGGAAACCATCTTCGAGTGGGAAAGTAGTGGGAAGAGGCCAAGCGGAAGCTAAAAGGCCAGAGCCGAGAGCAAGGAGGAGTGTAGCTGAGTGCATGTTGAGACGAGAGTGAATAGTATTAGAGATGAGTTTAAGATTATGAAGCTTTATGAGATAGATTGGAAGGATGTAAGATGAGAAGATGAGAAGATGAGGGACGAGGATGAGGATCTTACCTTGGCTGTGGGATTTATATAACTTTCATGGAGGATGGTGAGAAGTGAAATGTTAGCTTGTCGCCATTCAACCCGAAAGGCCGATTGTCTAAGGGATACACGGAAGGATGGGTGAAAGTACCATGTTGGCACTGCCGCAAATGAGGCGTCATCGATGGTTCGATGGATCGATGGGACTAGTGGGCCATTAAAGGGGAGGGAGAGGGAAGAGAAGAATACGACAGTGTAAGTCGGCCGGGACGCCTTTGTCAGTGCCTGTGTCATCAGTCATCGCATCATAGCTATTCGAGGGTGAAGGACGAGAGAGGCAGTACGATACACACATCAGGGGTAGAGGCCGTCGATCCGGAGTTCCGTTCCACCATTAACCCTCGATCCTTCGAGGCTTTTGTTCAGGCGAAAGGCAGCGGGAACCCTACTTGCTGGCTTCTGATGACGACATAGACGGATTACGACTGCATGACCTGCATGAATGGGATCAGCTGCTGTCATGATTGTCAAATGGCCGAATGGCGGGATCGGCGTGAGGCTTCGGACTAGAGAAGAAGGGGGAACACCACGAAAGCTTGTCAGGACCAAGGTTGTTAATTTTAGAGACTAGTGAGCCTAGTGAAGAGGGTACGACCGTACGAGTGCCTCAATCTGTTGATCTATCCTCCTCAATCGGCCGATCCTTGTTCGAAGCTAAAGTTCAGAATGAGTGGATCGGCGAAAGAGGAAGATTTTTTTTGCTTCCGGGATGTCAAGTGGCAGTGTTTGTGGCGGTTCGAAGGATGTGGGCAAAACAGGCTTACAAGGATTAGGGCTATGCGAACATAGCCTGGAGGCGATAGAGACATGAGGCAGATGGAACGAGGAAGGGAGGCGGAACCCAGATACTCCCAAGTTTGAATGTATGAGTGATGGTTTTACACTTGCTGAGGTCTGCAGGATCCCGTTTAGGGCATTGCAAGTAGTAGTTCTTCGGCCCGTCCTCTCTAGTATGTACGCCATCTCTGCTTCCCCCCTTCCCCCTGTAGATCTGTGAGCTGAGGGGCTTAGAAGCGCATTTGTAGCTGTCCCAGTTCCATGTATGTCGTGCCCTGCATGCCTGCACATGTTACCTGTCAAATGCAAGTTTGGGTGTTACGGAGGAAATTCCCGCTTTGGGAATTTGTGTGGGGACCCCGCCACATCCTTTCGCGGAGCCCACCTTGGACTGCCCTCTCAATGCTTCGCTAAGTAGAGTACTTACTCGTACTTACCACCGTATCTGTTCATAATGACTCAAGTACAAGACAATGTTACAGTCACTCGAGAGTATATCCTAGGTCCTGAGAATACCCCTTTTTACACGATTCGAGTGAGTCATGACATCCGTCTGCCTCGACTTCTGCTGATCACCAGTGGGCTCCAAAGAACGAGGAACCAAAAGCTCATGTGGTATTTGTGCATGGTCAGTTCCCCTCTCTTCTCTCGCTCTGCCGCCAAGCCTGATGAATATGAAGTGAAGAATTATTGATGAGCTCAGGTTTTGCTGAACATGTCGAACGATATACACATTTCTTTCCTATCCTAGCTTCACCCCCTTACTCACTCAGTATCTTAGCCTTTGATCAAAGAGGACATGGACGTACTTCTCAAGAACCTCTCACGTCCTCTTCTTCAGAAGTTATTCAATGGAAGAAAGAAGGTAGACCAGTGAAATTAGAGAAGAACGCCAAAAGGAGAACTGGAGGTTGGGCAAAGATCTTACCTGATATCGAGTGGTTTGTGAGGTACGAACATGATCGGGCCAAGAGTAAAGGCAAAAAGTTATTCTTGTGGGGTTTTAGTATGGTAGGTTTCTTCATTCGTGTAAGAGTCAGAGTATGGACTTATCAATAGGGAGGAGCGGAGGTATTGAGGTTCACTCTGAAATCTTCTTCGCAGATTAGGACTTTGGTAGCTGGAGTCATCGCTGGTGGAAGTTTGATCAGGTTGAAAGATGCTGCTCCGTGGATAAAAGTGAGTAAAATTGATATTGCCATCAGATTATCCTTCTCCTCCTTCCACTCTGTCTCTGCATATGATGACCATCCTCCTCGTTGCGCTCTCGACGCACATACGAAGTCTCTCCCTCTCTCTTCATGATCTTTCTTCCAACTTGCTCTATCAAATCGCTCTGGCGACTATTTTGACGAGAGGAATCTGTCATATTTCTGTAATAATACTAGCTCGGGTTCACTGCTAACGTGTCAGCTCAAAGCAGGTACTCTTGCTGCCAATCTAGGGCTAGGTAATATGCTCATCCCTGCTCCTATGGATAGTACCGTCAGTCTCCCGTCTCCTCTTCCCCCCTTCCCTCATTTCGATTTCCTCCATTTTCCTCTCCCCTTCTCATTTCTCCTACTTTTCCATGTATGTCATCCACTGACTCTCCCAGCTCTTCTCTCATAATCCAGAGTCCAATGAACGGGCCCAACTCGACCCTTTCTGCGAACAAATCGGCTCCACCCGCGGGATGGCAGACATGATCAATGGTGGTGCCCTCCTCGATCGTTCCGAAGCATGGGAAGCGTGGCCAAAGGAGATGCCTTTGCTGGTATATCATGGAGGTGAGGATGGGATTTGTGATGTTGAAGCAGCACGAAGGTTTGAAAGGGGGGTAAAGGCGGCGGATAAGACTTTGTATGTCGTCGAGGTGAGTTTCCTCTTTGTGCCACCATCAATTTTCTTGCTACCACCTCCGCCTGGAAGATAGATCAGTCATTAAGCGTTCAAGAAATCACTCGTGGATCATGTAGGGATAGATGTCTCTCAGGAGGAAAGGGGGTAGATGAGGAGAGAGAAAGATGGAGAGGAAAAGAAGGCAAGAGGGAACGAAGGAAATAGAAGGGTAAAAGAGAAAAAGTGCTGACGAAAAGGGGATGTATCATGAAGTACATAACGAATACGAACCTGTACCTACTCAGGTTGCCACTACTGTCGCTCAGTGGATTATCGATCGTTCGGGAGTGAACCTCGATATCACTACCACCACAATTACTTCTGATGCCGATACGACATCCAAATCTGCCGAACCGGACCTCCCGACTCTGGCAGTAAAGGAGACGGAAGCAGAGAAATATGAGCGAAAGGAAGGAGATGAAGGAAAGGATTATGCGGTACATGGGTCTAATGAAGCTGGGGAAGAAGGTGTTCAGACTTCTACTGGAGTTGCGAAACTTTGACCATACGAGTCTTCGCCCATTTCATTGCTGTCATGTAGTTTTGATACATTACTCGTACATATGTATAATCAGATGACCAAGTTGGAGCACATTGAATGGAAATACTACAATTACTCATGTGATGAATACAGTTCGAGTACTCCGACTCTACTCGTACTGTATTATCGAATTCTCTCCTTTAAGTACTTGATTCAATCCAGCTTCGTCCGTATAAGAATAGCGTATCATCATGACCCAAGACCAACAATTGTGGATCCAAATTGCATGACTTCAATTCTGTGGACGTGAACGTGGAATACGTATACATCAACTCTCATAGTGTACTACAATCCTCTTCCCTCGCTTTAACAGCCCATAACTACCTATCAACCACTTCAACTCGTCATACAAATAATTCCAGATGTGATCCAAAAACAACGAAAATACCTCTGTCAAAGATCAGAGATAAGTTACGATCAAGCAGGATCACCGGAAGTATCCCTATTACCAGCTAAACCAGGTCCATACTCTAATTGTGAATATTCTAATCCGGTAGTATCGGGATAAGATAATCCTGGGTATTCCGTTATGCCCGCCAACTGTTTAGCGCGATCGGAAAGGATCGGTTTATCGTCTGGTACTTCACGTTCGTTTGGTGTTTTCTTACCGAATATTTGAGTACCACGTTCACGGAAGATGAGGGGGTCGTGGGACTGAAATGAGTTAGTGTTACTGGTCCACTCTTTGTATAAACGGTCCGGGACACTCAGATAGCCCAAACGGCTGCGAAGCAGATGTGTGGATGAGAGAGGACGAAAGGGTTGGAAGAGAGAGAAGGAGGATAGGGAGGGAGGAGAGGGACACAGGGAAAGAAATGGAGAAAAGATGAAAACTCACGGTCATACCCCAATCTTTCATGAGACGTTTTCTTACCGCAAGACATTCCGGAGTAGCATCTTTGGCAGGTTTGTAACAAACGTCTGATCATTAGTCTCGCTTCTTTTTTTTCACCTCTCACTTGACATCTTGAAAGACAATCAGTCGCAAACTCTGTGACCCCTTTATCGTCGATATGGTGAGCCCAAACCCACGTAGAGGAGCAGAAAGCAAAAGTCTTATTGACGCAAGGCGCATGATATCGCCATCTTCGCTTTATGTGATCATGGAGAATAGGAAAAGAAGATATCGGAAGAAATGGAAGTCGAACAACTTACACATGGCCAAACGAGGATTATCACCCTCAGCATGAGCACCATAATGTACACAACGCGAATCCCACAAAAGTAAATCACCAGGTTCACAAGCGAGTTTGGTCCATTTACATCCGTGATCATAAAACCATTGCATTTGTTTTTCGGTGAAAGAGTATTGATCGAGCCATGACCATCCGTCGGCGGGTTTATCGGCGTCGTTCTCTTCGAAGAATTGGTTGTAAAGTTGAAAAGAACCATCGAGGATCATGAGACCTCCATCTTTGGGTCCGTTGTCGGCCTGGAACGTCAGCTTGAACTCTTCCTGAATAAAGTCCACTTGGTCAAGGATGATTCGCAAGTGGGGGAGTTGATACCTCGTAATAAATCATAAGTGGAAAGGGATTGAGACGTCATAAATAGATGGGTGTATGGATGTCAGAGTGTAGAAAAGTAGAGCATTGTACATAGAGGGAGAATGAGCGAACGGGGGGAGGGATGGAGGGATGGAGGGAAACTCACCAAGTTGATGATACCTTGAATACAATGTTTGTAACGTTTTAAAGGACTTTGATCCACATGAGGCCAGGGTTCGGCCCTCCAACCAAGATCATCTTTATAAGGAAGGGTAATGTTGATACCGTCTACATAATTAGCGTTTCACTCGTCTTCCCCTGTTCCCACAAATTTCAGCAAGGACTAGAGAGATAGATAGAGCGGCGAAAAGATAAGATCATATATGCGAGTGAATGGAAATCATCAGGTCGTGGGGTCATAAGAAGAAGATATGTTGATATACCAAAAGAAACAAGCAATTGATCAGTTCCCCAAATCTTTGCGAAAGCATCGATCAAAGCGGGTTCACTTCTCATATCCCAAACGAATTGTTCGTGTCCAACTCCATTCCGATTGATGAGACCGGCTCTTGTCATTAGCATATCTTCTGTAACGTCTTTTATACTTCTATCCCTCCCATTGGAGTAATCCATTTTGCCGCCCTTCGAGACTCCCTCTTGTAAAATGCCAAGACTGCCTGGGGTTGGACTCCTAAGGCGAGAGATCTGACGAGTCGCACGTATGTACAGGTAAAAGAATGGAAGAGAGGGGAGAAGGAGGAGAAGAGAGAGACAGAGAGAATCATGACTCACTTGTTGAAAGCTGGCATGTTTTTTATCTGCCAAGTCTCTCTATCATCCCTCTTAAAACCCGTACCGTACTTTTCCGCCCATTCATACATCCTATCAACATATTTAGCGGCTTTCTCTTTTGGCACCACACCCTTGACGACTGTCCACTGATTGTCAGTTCTAGTACTATTCCATGGAAGAAAGCAACGCTGGAAATGACGAGTCAGTAAGGTGGACGCTGATAATCGAGCGAAGATATGCTGACAAGGATTCAGATACGCAGAGGTGATGAATAGAAAGACATCAAACGAACAAGATAGAAAAGAAGCCAGAGGGGTAAGGGGGAAGGGAGGAGGAGGCGGGAAGAAAGGATATGACAACTCACGCCTTTCTCATCCAAATCAGGATAAGCAGAAGTAATAGGAGCTTCCGTTTGTCCACGAAGTTTTAAAGTTCCCGTGGTCGTGGGAGAAGTAGGAGTGACAGTTTCGGTCGAAGTAGCTACTGGCATTTTGTTTTGAGAGACACTGTCAAAGTAAGAACAATGGTAAGTCAAGTTTGATTTAGTCAGAAATGTTTTCGTTGAACAGTCAGTGGACCGATGACAGGGGTTTATATATCTTTAGACTTAAACCCTAGAGAATTCACCATTTTACAGGTCGTCAACCGGCTCTGTGGAGTTTGTCAGTGAGGGTTCATGAGACCAAAGGGGAAAGACGGGGGAGTTGAGAAATCAGGAAAGTCTGGGATAGAGGGGGGTATAGCAGTTTAACCGGCCAACCGGGGTCCGCTCCGCACACCGGTTATACCGATCACTGGGGACCCCACATTATTGGTGTTTTTGGTATATGGCGCCTAGCTCAGCTGCTATGAGAAATGGCACAACTGAGTGTATGCTACAGATTCATCATATTCGCCAGATCAACGATACCCCATCGTCCCCCGCACTGACCACTACTTGACTATCAACCGACTCGTCTGGTGAATCTGAAGAAGGAGCAGGGACAGGGGCAGGGGCAACGCATACACCATTCACCACACCCGCATGTCCCTTGTGTTCAGCCACGAGGACACCGGTTCGGACATCCCATGTTTTGAGAGTCGAGTCTGCCGAAGCGGAGGTGATGAGGTGTACTTTGGGTGGAGGATGGGGAGCGAGGGAAGTGATAGGTTCCTGTAGTGTCAGCTTCAGTAGGCGGACAAATCACGGTTGATAACTACGCGCTTGATGTTCATGTTTGAGAGTCGACGTTTTACCAAGTGAACAGCCATATTACACGTCAATCTAAGAGCGTTCTAGTGGATAAAGGAGCGAGGGAGGGTTAGGGGAACGCGTACTTGTAGAAGGAGAAACTTACTTCATGTTGGATCTCCGCTCGAACTCTTCCCGTATTTACATCCCAAACGAACCCCTTTCCATCAGTTCCTCCACTAATCAAAACCACCCCCTTCCCTCCACCGGCACCCTGGAAAAGATCGATAAACTGCAACGCTTCCACGCTTTCTCCTTCCGCATGTCCCACAAGGGTGTTCAGCACGTTGCCTTTGGCGAGGTTGACTAATCTGACTCCGCCGGCTGCACCACCCACAGCAGCTATTTGACCGTTCGGACTAACAGCGAGAGACGTAATGCCGTGTATTGCTGGATCCAGTTCGGGCGAGTTGGGAGGAACAAATATGGAAGTCTTCCATATTGGTGTAGGTGAACGAGGGTCCCAGAGGATGAGTGAAGAGTCGAGGGAGGATGTGAGGAGGGATTTAGCCGGGTTTGGGAAAAGACCTGCTGTGCTGGATAATGTGTGAGAGGAGAGAACTGCCATTGTTTGGCCGGAGGGTACTAAATTGTTAGATGCCTGTTATGACGACGAGTCAAGACTTGCGTGTCACTTGAGGGAGAATATGAAACTAAATGGATGAGAGGATGATGTGAGACTTACGATTGAACATCCAAACTTGGGCATCTTCACAGCCAACAGCCAAGACAGGACCTTTTGGATGCCACTGAAGCCACTTGTACGTCAGATCAAAAGCTTCCAGACAGTCACTTCGCCTCTCATTGGCTCTAAAATCATTCTTGCAAACATTTCTAAGCTTTATCCTGAAAATGTCTGCCCACCATTTCACCGTGCCACTGATCTACAATGAGAATGAAGCTGGAGGTGGCGGATGAACAAATGAGGAATCACCATAACGTGTTGAGAATCCAAAAAAAAGAACAGGTGGATAACCAAGAATGAGTGAAGCAATCCAGAGAGAAACTCACCACAACTTCACTCCCCGTCTCTAAACTAGTTAAAAATTCCCAAATCTTCCAACCATCTTTCCCGACCCTTCTCCATACCCTGACCCTTCCATCCATACCACCAGTAGCTACCATTTCTCCATCATGACTCCATCCCACTGCTACCACAGAATCCGTATGACCCGTCAATTTGATAGGAGGGAATGTTTCACTATTGATATCCGTCGTCGAGGATGGAGGAAGGGGACAGAAGATATAACCCAAGTCATCTTCCCCTCCTGATATTGCAAGTGGAGGAGAGGGGAATAGAGGATGGACAGAGATGGTAAAGACTGATTGACCTGATGCGTGAAGTGCTAGGCGTCAGTAGTCACTCTTGTTATTCATGGATCATGGAAGCAAACACAAAGGTAAGGACCAGTATCTGAAATTTGTAATCTCGAGGTATTTGTGAAGGGGTGATTGATAAGTAAGCTTGAGGAATCTACGACGCATTTACAAGTGAAGCGGGAGATACTATGAAGAGCAAAAAATAGTTCGATAGATAATTATGAACCTCAAGGAGATCTCAATGAGATGACGAGGGTTGAGATAACTACTCACAAGTAACACCCCAACTATTATCTTCCCTCTCCACATCCATTCCTTCTTCCATTTCCTCTGGCGGAGCACCAATGATTATCTCTCCATCATAACCCTCATTATCCTCTTCTTCATCCATCATCTGATCTCCGTCATCTTCGTAAACCTCTACGACATCTTGTTCGTCTATATCAGATTGGTCTGGTTCGTCTTCGTGAGGGTGGCAGTGAGACATTTCGCTCTGGCAGATTCAAGATTTCCTCCAATGGGTCTGAAAGACCGTGGCTTACGGGTATGTAGTTCTATAGGCCAGATTATATATCAGATCTGTGTGGAGGTGTGCAGGCTGCTAGAAGGTACGTTTGAGATATGCTGAGCAATACGGGTCAAAAGTTGAAAGTGGACCTCGGTCAGGGGCAATTCATGTCATATTTTTGGACATCCGTGGGAAAGTAAACCAGTCCATTGGCGGCGGTGGACGAGGTATGCATTTGACTAACTTATTACAACAGATGTACGAAATTGAGATACCCCTGTTGATACGATATATGAGCAAAGATATAGAGATGATAACAAGGAATCAAATATAGAGATGCGAGTGGACCGAAATATCAAACATACAGTGTGTGAATATGGAAGTAGACCAAGATATCCAAGATCGGGAGAAGAAAATGACCACAGAAAACAACAACTCAACCATCCGCATTACGCAACTCTGGAGGTACGTATCGTAAGCCCACATAGTCGAAGATCTCCCTTTCAGTAGGTAAATTGATCTCCGTCGTTGTGCTGGGATCGATGAGACCTGCTCGGAATTTGAGTCCTCTGACTGGATCAGTAACAGACCCCAACAACGATACAAGTCTGTGAGCAGCCTCCAACCTCAACCAAAGGGACGTAGGGAACTGTTTTCTTCAGATAAACTCGATAAAGTGTTCAAGCTTGTAGATATGAGAAATATGGCGATGTATGATAAGAGCGTGAGATAGATGAGTATTGAGTAGGAGTGAGTGTAAGAAAGATAGAGTAACATATTCCTTGAAACATACCTTCGTTCTATATGTCTCCGCAAATCACGCTCAAACATCATACTCCCACTCCAACTCAATACCGCCGCAGCGTATCTCTCCTTCGGCGCCGAAATCAAATCTACACGTCTATGCAATCTCCCCTTTCCTGGTAAACGAAAGATAACAAATGCTTTGTCGAGATTATCAAAGTTGTTGGGTGTGGAATGTATCGGTGTTTCAGCATCACGGGAAGTGGTATCTTTTCGTCAATTTCCATCACAGTCCAAAGGGAGAGAAACATGTACGAACGTAGGACGTGAGTGATTATGTCCACTGTACTGAGACGTAATGTCAAGTCGCGTAAAAGTCCAACATCTTGACCCTCTCGAGGGGGGCAGAAAACTATGTCCACGTCATTAGATTGAGGTTTACCTCGACGGTATCTAAGATATGAGCTGATTGACGAGATATGATATGGGGGGGATATCAGTGATTCAAGAACTGAGAAGATTGAGACACATCATAGAGCGAGAGGAATGAGGGTGGAGAAAGAGACGATACTCACCCTCCAGTGATGGTATATTGACAACCGTCCAATAAAGCGGAAAGATGTTCCATCACGCAATCTGCGATTTCTTGTACCTCGTCCCTTGGTATTCTATCCTCGTCAGTTTTCCTCCTCACTGTTCTGTCTCTGCTCTGTTGGCGATACGTTCCATGATGACAACAGCAGATGTGGTTGAACTCACCCTCCCCATTTCGCCGTTCATTCGATGATGACTTAAGAGATGTGATCAAACTCACGGAGTATCTAACTCGCTCTTCAATCCCATCCAAGCTTCCACAATATCAACATGCAACATCCCTCCTGACTTCCTTCTTCTTATCTTTTCCTTTTCCCTGACCTCGGGCGCTTCACCCGCTAAGAATTCGTAGTGTTTCCTCACATCCTCAAGAGTTCGGCAATTCCATTTATCATATAACTCTTTTGCGGTGACTTTGCCGATGGTATAAACTGAGGCGAATTCGTTCAAGGCTTGATATCTTGAAGAAGAGAGTATGTTTTGAGATTCTGCGACTGAACCTGTGGAGAGATATTCATCGATCTGAGATCAGTCACAGCCTCACTTTCCTGCCCTTCTGCCGTGAGTACTTCGTGTCGTCCCGCGTCCTCTGTTCCCGGGCTTGAAATGCAGTGTCTCAGGATGCTATAGCTAGCTGAGTTGAGATATGGGAAAGAAGGAGAAAGAACTGGAAATTCACTCGAATGGCAACTTTCTCCCCTACATCTGCAAGTTTCATAGCTTCTTTCCCTGACCTTATACGTCTTGGTACGGCTTCATATCAGTCCCGCTTGTTAATTCTTATTCACCCACATTTCAACATCTGCAAATAAGCCTTCGAACACATATGAAGATGAGATAGGCTCTCACACTTAAACTCCTTCTGTAACTGAGGACATTGGAATTGACCTGATCTCTATCTTCATATTCTCGATAGAGTAAGATAGGTTTTATGGCGTCGATCTGACTGTCAATATTGTCCTGTGAGGAGTCTTCTTCATGACCTTCCTTCATCTGCTTCCGCCCTTAGGTCCTCCACATTCGACCGGTCCAGTGACCTGTTTCGCAAAGTGGGGTCGAAAGAACACTCACGATATCCTGATTGACACATGTGAGAGGACAAGGTCTCAGTATACACAATCTCGGTATGTCTTCTAATTTCACATCCTCGGAATACATCTCGATATCTCCTTCTTCCTCACTACTGTCATCTTCTCTCGCTTCTCCCTCGTCCTCTTGTTCCCCCTTCTCCTCACTCCCTCTTCTCTTCCTCTTCCTCATCGGACAAGATATCACCTCCAGTTCTGCTTGCGGCCGAAGCAACAAGTACTTATCTCTCTCTGGTAATCTCGGGATACCTCCATTTTCATCTTCCGTAGCCGCGCTTAGACATCTTTCATACGACTCATAAATCCATTCCTCGCTCACCACCACAACAGCATCGATCCATTCTCCTAACGCCCTACTCAAACGTGGCCTCCCACGAAGAGCGGTGATGACAAAACGTGCTTGTTCCGGACCGACACATCGACCTCCCAGATCGTCGATGCATTGATACACCCTGGCGAGATCGATTTTAGGGGAGAGGACGTGGAAGGTGAGTGCTGCGAAGAGAGGGTAGAGGTGATGGAGGGGTTGTTGATGTGCGTGGGTGTTTGAAGAGGAAGGTTGAGGAAGTGCTTGAATGGAAGGTCTAGTAGGCATCGAATAAGTAACAAGTCACTGGTAGTTTGTAGTCCTGTAGTCTTGGCTATCGGCCATCGGCCATCGGATCGTGAGGATGACTTGGATGTTAGCCCATGACAACTTATCATAACGTCCTGGTAGCTTAACGGCTGAGTTGATGAAGTCATACTCTTTGGCGCGTAGGGATAATCCCGACGGACCTTGAATTAATCCCGACGGAAATTTGGCCATTTCTCCCATTTCCAGTCACAACTGACCCAAATCCCTACACTACTCACCCAAATCCCTACACTACTCACCCAAATACCTGCACTCTCTCAATATCGAGAGTTATTGAGATGTAAGACATGTAAACTGATCCTAGACAGTCCAGGATGCATTTGATGCATAGAGATCATGTGTATCATGCATATTGACAGATCCGAAAATGCATTTTCGGACCCGAAAACGGTCCGAAAGCGTCGTTTTCGGATCCGAAAGCGTCCGAAAGCGTCCGAAACGCCCGAAAGTGGTCCGAAAGTGGTCCGAAAGTGAAATTTCCTGTTTAAAGGGAGGGATCACATAATCCGAAAACCGGTCCGAAAACCACTCTAGGGCTGTCAATATGCATGATACACATGATCTCTATGCATTTCATGCATCCTGAACCCTGCAGGATCATTCTACATGTCTTACATCTTCAGAATCTGCAATATTGATGAAGTGTAGGGATTTGGGTGAGTAGTGTAGGTATTTGGGTGAGTAGTGTAGGGAAATGGGTGAAATGGCCAAATTTCCGTCGGGATTAATTCGAGTTCCGTCGCGATTATACAGTTTCGCTACTCTTTGTGAGCTCACGACATAAGTATGGGGCTCCGCAGTCGTCATTCAGGAGTAACATGATCACATGAGTACTCCGACTGGCCAACTACTTTACTTATACGCTTAGCTACATATGCATCTTACTACTTGTGGGGTTACGATAGTCTATTCACTTCGCTACATCCTCTACTGATACCCATGTCGACGATCGACGAGATCACGATAGTAATCAACGAATGCACTGGCCCTTCTAGAGGGAGATGAAACAAGACAAGGGTAAATAGAGCTTACCCTTCACCATCCAATGCTACCATGCTACCCTGCATATAGAATGTAGATCATCCCCAGATTTGTGGATTGGCATATTGGTTCATGAACTGGCGGACCGCATTTGGGTTCCTTGACGGATCCCTTCCCTCATCAACAAGCCGAGTGAGGGTGTGGACAATCCTTGCCTCGGGGGACATAAGAGAAAGCCTGTCAGCCAGCGTGGTCGCGAATTCGCCGCAAATTTTCGACATCAGTGTAGCACAAGGATTCTCTTCTAATACGACCGTATTTTTTTCGGTGACTGAGGCAGATGCCACCAATCCCATCAGAGATCGGGTGCCCTCGTGGGTAGGTTCAAACCACTGCTTTAAAAGAAGGTATTTGTACTTGATAGAAAGAGCCAACCTGGACACCGCACTTTCATCAGTGACGTCAGGATCGATTGGATGAATCACGGGGTCATGTGAACCGGACGTAAGAGAGAGGGTTCGGGTATACATGCGGACTGCAGAATGGTTATTATCCCTGGGAATGAGGACGATGTGAAGTGTTTCCGGGCTCGAAGTCAGCCATCGCGACAATGGAGATGTCCGACCGAAACGAGCGAATTCTGTCATTGAAAGTGGTTTTCGCAGAACAATGAAATGAATGTTCTGGTCAGGTTGTGGTGAGTAGTAGTAGTAGTAGTGGTAGTGGTAGTAGTGGGGCATGGAGCAATACGTTTTTATAGCCCTCAGTCAATAGAGCTTGTAGCATTCGTGGGAAAATCAGTTCTTCCTTTGATTTAACCCTCCCCCCCTAGGCCTATGGCTTCTCACCTAGTCTCTGATCTCTGACCTCATCTTCTCACCCAATCCCTGACCTCATCTTCTCATCTTCTCATTCCACGCCTGTGTGACGTAGTCTCCACTCTACTGATGTTACATTATGTCTATTCATCTCTCTCTCCCGAAACTTCCATCCCCTCTCTACGTGACTTGTTCGTCCGACACTCCCAAGCCTGCGCTCAGGCAACTTCGCCCTTAGCACGAGTACTACTGCAGGATCAAGACGCTGATCATTTGTTCATCTTTGGCTCATTGGTGAAGAAGCAGGAGTAGGATCTAGCATTGAAAACACGTCATCGATCAACTTTTATCCTCTCCCAATCCTCTTAGTGGATCACGAGTGGGACGAAATCGATGCCGAGAAGTCTGATAGAGCCGCAGGAATGGAAGACCCAGTCGATCGTTTCTTGTATAAACTCAACAGCGCTTCTAGCACCCGTGAGCCATCTTGGTCATCCTCCAATATGATCACATACCCCGGATTCTGCTTAATGACAGAGTCGGCCGCTTCCCACCACTTGGACCAATCGCCCTGATAGTCACATGGGAAAAACGAATCTCGCTTTTTGCTCGCCTCATGAACCGCCTCAGTCAACCAAACTAAGCGGTGGGAATTTTCAGAGCTACGATCAATCGCATCTATCACGCGAGGAGACGAGAGGGTGTAAGTGTACATTACCACGGTGGGAGGTGATTGTGGATCACGACTAGGAGATAATGCTATGTGAAGGGTATTTTCTTCGGAAACTTGTCCTGTTGCGGGATGAACGATACGTTCCTCTTTCATGTTCTGTATCGATGACGATTGTTGGAAGGAAGAGTTAGCAGTAGTAGTGGTAATGAGAGGAAGAATTGATGAGGTTGATAACGTGGATAGTGAATGGGTAGTTTGATGAAATGGCAAGGTATTAAAGGTAACGAGCGGAGGTACATACGTCACCTTTCGACCGTTTTCAAACTTGAGGTATTGCACGAGTGAGAGGTGACATGGTGACAATTCTATTCCTCTTGCTTTGTTCGTCCTTCTTGCCTTCACTTGTCTTCTCTCTTTCAATTCGGCCGAGGTGGACGATACTGCAAATCAAAAGATCCGGCCGAGATCTTCCTCCCTCCTTCTTCACTAACCCGGTCCGCTCGGTGCCCCGCATCGTCATCATCGATCGACCTTCCAAACTTCCATCTTCGGTCTCCTCGTACGACCATCGTTCTTCCTCACTACTGCATCATTGTTCCCTCATCCCTGGCAACCCGACAACAAGAGAAGAGCTATTGTAAGGTGGGAAGGCTCCCAGAATCAATGAAATGGTACCCAGATTGGAAACTAGAATATCGTCATCATCCACACCTTATCCACCTCCGCAAACCATCAAAACTAATTCGTCCCCGACCCCACTGCGGACCTCTTCATTCGAGGGAACGGTAGCGCTATGGCTTAAATCACCTCATGAGAAAGAAGCTGGTCAAGAATATTTCTCGCATCCATCAAGAGAGGGTATGACATATGCTATCGTTGTTCGTGGTGGGTACTGTACCAACCCCCTTTCCTCCCTCATCACATTCATGGACCTTTGCACTCCTAGAACGACTAAGGGATTCCAGGAACTAAGTAAAGGGACTCCAAGGAGATATTCATAGTGGTGCAAATATGAACATCCGGGAGATGAAGACGTAGAAGGAGAGCTGAAAAAAAGGTAGGTTCGTAGACGATGTATCCGCCGATGATATTTTCTTCGGAAACGTTTTCGAAAATCCAGTGAGGGATCATCTTCCTTGGGGTAGCAGCATAGCTATGCGTGCTATGCAGTGAGTTCTATTCCATCCTGATCAAATCCCTGTCCAATTGAATTCCTGGACGACACAAAGTACATGAGCTGAGACTAGATGGTTAGACCCTTCGATAGAGATGGACGCATATGCCGATAGACCATGGGCTCTTTCACCATTATTAGCAACTATGAATTATGTATCGATAACTCGTCAACCTCAAAATGGAGTAATAGTGGAAGAAGATTGTGATTTATTGGAGGAACTAGCTGGTTCGTATTTCCATCTAGTTCAGTATCATCATCATTTTCTTCCTGACGCTGTCTTTTCCCATCTATCACTCCATGAGATATCCTCCGTTCCCTTTTGTTGCTCCTTAAGTGGTTAATGCACGGGAAAGATATAGAGCGCATAGAATATGTAAGGACAGTGATATTAGAGAGATGGTACGAGTACTGATATCAGGAATACAAAAATGGAAAGGGGATTCGAAAGCCCGTAGTTCTTCAAGAAAAGCATGGTTCAACATACCTGCCAACCGTGAAAAAGTTCAGTTGAAAGGATTGGAAATCAGTTTAGAATTTTGTAATGGCTATCTTGGTTTGTCTTCTTCTAGTCTTCTTCTCCATCTTCAATCAGCCTATACACACATCGTGTCCAAGAGAATAAACATTTCGGTTCTGCCATCTTTGAAACTCTCATCAGAGATATGTGAGGATTGAGCCTCGGACTGATAGATGTAGACTTTAACACCTTCTCCGTCACTCTGCCCCGTCCTTTCAACCTCTCCATCCCCCTTTTGAAATACTGGGATGGTCAACCTGTCACATACGTCTGTCAAATGGGTAAACAACCTGGTGAAAGAGCATGTTGGAGTGTGGCGTATCATATTGTTGATGCTGTCCCTCTTGACGACACTGCATCAGCAAAGCCCAATACCGAGGAAGAGGAAGTACATGAAGATGACCAAGGTAGAGGAGTAGCGGCAGCAGTAGCGAAAGAGAATGGAGAGGGAGAGTTATTGGATGATTTGGATTGAAAAATTGTCACGTAGATGCATACACACTTTGTCCTGATTTCTGATTCCTGGTCACTGATATCATTCGTATTATTTTCGTTCTTCTATTTTAACGTTTCCTTGCCAATTATCAGATATCTAACCCGTTGACATCTTGCGTGACACATATGATCAAGCCTTTCCCCCCTTGGCATCTCATCGCTCGATCTCAACCCAGATCCACACTTGTCTACGCTCCTACGCTCCTTTATCCTGCCCCTCTCATCGTTTCACCTCGACTCGATCCTCTTCCATCAAACCCTAGAAAGAGTAGATTTTGGAGGTGATTGTATAAGAGCGATTTGACCGATCCACCCAACGAGCTCACTGCGCTTTAGCCAACCGGGCCCGTTTGGCCAAAGCTCGCCGACGTATGTCCCTGTGCATCCAGTGCGAAACGTGCATCGCCGCCATCTCACTGGAATACCCGAAGATACCAGTAGCATAATCCATGATCGCATGCGCCCAGTAAGGTGTCATAGTGGATGCTCTTCCCTGTGCACCACCTGGTAGACCGAGGGAGGAGAGGGTGGATCGAACGAATTTCCGAGCTGTTGGAACGGTCAGGGAAGATTTTCGAATTTTAGACATGTTGGAGATCTGAGCATGAGCTTTGCCTGATGAAAACTCCTTTATTCAAAATATGAGATAAAGCTAATGAAGATGATATATGATAGACGAAACTCACAACAAACGCAGGAAGAACTACCTGTACCATCACACCTTTACTCCTTACTTCCCAAGCAAGTGCTTTTGTCCAAGCCTCTAATCCAGCTTTGGTATAACAATAAACAGCCAATAAAGGTGCTGGTAATCTCCCATCTAACGAACCAACATTCAATACCAAACTCTTCGGACCTTTTCCTTTGGATCTAGCTATCATATGTGGAAGTACGGCTCGAGTAAGTTGTAAAGTGCCCAAAACGTTGGTTTGTACGATTTGATCAATTACCAAAGGATCCGTTTCGACGAAAGGTTCTGGCATTTCATGTGAAACTCCAGCGTTATTGATGAGGACTCCTGGGTCGTGCATAGCGCAGAAAGCTGATAGTTCCGCACAAGCTTGAGAACGGGAGGAAGGGTCTGAAAAGTCCATGACGATGATTTTGGTGGAAATGGAGTATTTGGTAGCTACTATTAGTTCTGATTCTCATACGACTTCATCACTGTCGCTATCCGAATCGACGATCCCTCACAACGTCCCTCGGAGGTCGTCCAGGTCGCGCTCATTGATACCTTCAACAAAACGACGAGGTAAGAACTTGGTTCGGTTGACGAAGGACAGGAGAAGGCAGCAACAGAGTGCTCGAGATGAAATGGTGGTATGAATCTGATAAAAATGGTTATGTGAAGAAGAGAAAAACTCACACAACTCCTCGGCCAACTCCTCCATAGCAGCACGACGCCTAGCAACAAGTACCACACAATATCCTTTCGCAGCTAACTGTCTAGCAAATTCCACTCCGAGTCCACTAGTCACACCAGTGACTATAGCCCATGTTTTCGTTCCCTGGTGACGGGACTGGAAGGTTTTGACCTGACCGTTAGAACTTGGATCCGCTCAACACAGTACAAATGAGGCGTGTTTGCCTGGATAAGCCGAATGCCCGGTAACCTCAGCGTCCAGAAACCCGGTGATCTCAGTGTCCAGAAACCCGAGGGATAGTGACTAGGTTAGAAGAGACACGAGTCAAGCAGTGGAGAGATGATATTTGTAAAATGATGTGGAAAGTCTTGACAACTGATCAAGAAAGTGTCGCAGGGAGAAAGAGCGAAAAGATGAGAAAGACGAAGTGAGGTGAATTGCAAGTGAGAAGAAGAGAAAAGAATCACTCACGTTAGTCCCTGGTATCACAGTGAGCTCTAAGAAAAGTCTTAATATCGAGTATAATCTCTGAAGTAGATATGCAGCTCCAACTAGGGCGAAAATAGTTGCGAGTCTCGTATCGATAGCTATAGTGATATCAGGTCTTGAGCTTTTCCCTTCACCTTTCATCTCTCCTTCCCATTCACACTAACTCTCATTCCGATAGACTCTTCCTTCACTTTTCCGGACTTATACAGCTTGATCTCTCCTCTCCAGAGTTCGACCTCATCAACCCGTTATCATCCCTTTCTCGAGAGTGTGGAACGAAGTACATTCCACCTGACATCTCTTCCCATGTCTTCGCTATACCAAGCTACGAATGGATCTGACCTCAAGAAAGAAGGTTGAAAGAACTCACATATCTCATGTCCCAGTATCTTGTAACTTACCCAGGGACGTCCCCCCGACACATGTATAGTATCAATTACCATTTCCTTGCATTCACCTTTTAGCCAAATCACAATTTATCGAAAGTCGTGACGCAGTGGGAAAAGCACGCGCCCCCTTTACACGTAGAGTGATGTTCAAATAGGCCCGTGATATGACGCCTAAGTACATAGGCCCGCAAGGAGAGCTGGAGCTTACGTAAGACTATCCTCACCGTCGAAACTTGGATCCTGCGAGTGAAATGACTTTCGTAAAGTGATACCCACCACGACCCTCCTTGTTTCTTGGAGTACAAAGAGTTGACAGTCGTGTGTCGTCTTTTGACGAAGAAGGTCATCTTAGATTGACTTGGGAACCTCTTTGGCCCGCCGGGAGGAATGTTTTTTCTGATGATTCGGGGGGTCACAAGGTTCCGTATATCTCCCAACTTGATGATTTGATCATATTTGTGTACGTGTGGTGCCGCGATAACATGTCATCTTACGTTGCTTTTATAAGAACCTGACAGGCAAGTAAGTTACTCTTGTTGAAGATAGATTGCTCTGTGACGAGTACGTCGGGGGAAGCTGATCAATTTACGGGAAATGAATGACATATACGACATTTGATATTTGCATCATCTGCCGTGGGTTTGATAGGAATGAATCACGGGTTAATCATAAGATCAGGGGTGTTAGACGTTCTGACATGCGATACAGCTCCTATGGATGTATGATCATTCATGCTAAGCAAAGACCCAAAATCAATAGAGATCACACCAGGGCTAAACTATCCTCTCCTCTCAAAACACTGTATACCCTTTTGGACAACGCCTGGGGGTCAGCTGAGTTACACATGAACAATCGAGCGAAACAAGTACTGAACCGATGGTGAGAAGTACAGAATGTTGAGGAGATGACTCTCGACTGGGATAAAAAAGAAGAAGGGTGGATTACGACTGATATAGGACTAAAATAAAACGAAAACTTTACTAACCCCCTTCAAAGTCCTCCCGTTCGCCGTTCCATTCTTCAAATTCCTCACTTCACAATCTTTCAACAACCCCTCCGCCTCGCTCATTCCTCTCCTCTCGGCCCGATCGTAAGCACGCATCAAATGTCGGAACGTAGGATATTCGACCGCTATGCCCGCAGCCGCCGAGGGAGTTATACCCTGGACTTGTTGTAACATCAGTTCGAGGATCCCAACAGGTTCGGACGACTTTCGGATTCCGTCGGGAGGGCAGAAGTTGAGGTGGGATTTGGAAATAAGTTTATACTATTGTAAGCTCAAGTCTCTGCGGTGTCTAGGGGTTTGGATGGACGGTTTCCACATCCTGGATGAGAGTCATATAACGAAGGTGTATCGAAGAGTGAGCAATGAGAGCGAGGATGACTCACAGGACGGATAGCGATATCACATGCCAAGTTGAAAATCCAATCTTCGATATCTTCCGTTTTCTCAACTGCTGATCAGTACAGATTCTTAGTTGACGGGACATGGCGAACATCTCGCAGCGAGCCTAAGACCTCAGATCAAACAAGGGAGATCAGCTTGTTGTCTCGCTAACTTAGAGCTATATCGTTGACGAAGAGGATCTGAGATATGAAATTCCAAAAGGCCACTCACCATGAACGACGAAACATTTCTGTGACAGTTGTAACTTTAACAACTCCATCTCTATCCTCTCCTTGCTTGGTCTACCCTTCCAGTCCCCTGGCCCACTTCCATCCCTCGAACCGCCTTCTAATCCAGCACGAGCAGCAGCTGTGAACTCTCTATTAGCCAACGTTTTCGTCTTGGCACAATATTTCCATAAATCCTTGATCACCAAAAACAATTGATGTGTCATATCCATCCCTAGACATAATCTCATATCAGATATCCAATCTACCAGAGAATCTCCGGTCATAATTTCCGCGGTACCTTGCGTCGAAGGGAGCGGAGGAAGTCGGTCGACAATAGTCTCAGCAGTGACGATGATCAATGTGGTAGTTTCCCATTCCCATCGCGGTATGTCGAGTGGTACGAAACGTTTTGCCGTATGATCGTATGAAGATGTGACGTGACGTTTGAATCGCACTATACCCGGAGCGGGACTGTTCTCTTCTGATAGTGTATGTAAAGCCGAGTTATTCTCGGTGAGACGGGCTCGGATCTCGGGGAGGGCGCCGGCTATGGGTGAGGTGGGAAGAGCAAGGTCGGAAGAGAGGTAGAGGTGAATCTCTCGGACAGTGTCACGTTTGGATGTACGAAGCTGGGTGTCAGTGGTTGTGTGTTTTCTTCTTATAATATATCGGACAAAGACGATGGGTCGTATTGGCGGTCAGTGATCAGAACTCACTCGGTTGGCATCGGCCAGTTTCTTCTGGAAAGATTTCTCAGCTTCTTTGGCAGCCTGGAGTCAGCGTCGCTCTCTTCGGCCCAATGTCCCCCTCGAATATCTCAACGACCAAGCTCTGAGTTGTGGGCGCCTGAGGTCTCATGTTCGTAATTTGCCTCGTATAGATCAACCTCAGTCAGATTCCCAGCCTGGAGATCTTCTTTGACATTCATGGGATGTGATGAGCAAGATCTCCTCTCACCTTCGCAGCAGCCTTTGCCATCTCCTTCTCTTTCTTCTCCTTTTCCTTGAACGCCTCTCTTTCCATTCTCTCCTTCATCTTCAAAGCTTCCTTCTCCTCTTTACTCAATTTTCGTTTCTCCCCTGTATCATCTTCATCTCCATCGATGGTCACACTTCTTGTCTCCTCGACTTGCTTTTGTTTTCCTTTTTTCCCTCCACCTTCTTTCTCACACCGTCCAACATCATCCACACTTGATTCCTTCTCTGCTCCATGCCCAGACCTTCTCTTCTTCTTCGGAGCTCCCGCAGATCTTTCTTCCTTCTGTGGATCTTTATTGACTAGATCGTCATGATCAAGAACGGTCTTTGCTGCCTCACCACTCTTACGTTTTTTCCGATGTTCGTGTATCTTCCCAATAGCATCACCATGAGAGGTACTACGTGTTGTGAGATCTGTTATTCCTGCCAGATCATCTAGATCGATGATACCCTCCAAGTCGTCCATCTCGATCATTCTTGTCACTTTGGAAGAAATGATCGTCTTGGAGGGAGACAGTCGTTTACTCGAGCGTGAACTTTCGCCTAAATTTTCCATTTCCATAATGATATTTACATATGAAGTGGTTGGGATCGTCCCCGATCCCAACGAAACTTTTCTTGAAGGCGGAGCTTCAGCAGTTTTAGTGAGAAGACTCGATGTTTCTGTTGAGTCCAAAAGATCTGCGAAAAGAGGGGGTTTAGTTGAGTGGGTAGATTTCACAACACGTTGTGAGATGATATCCAAAACACTGGGGATTTCATCGTCTGAAGAGTCCAAATCTATGGTCGATATTCGAGCCAATGAGGTTTTACCCTTTGAAGATGATCTAGACACAAGTCCTTTTGAGCCAGTTGTTGAAGGAAGACCGGTGAGGGGACGATATCGAGGTAAGACTGGAATAGGTAGGAACGAGATCTCAGGATCGGAATCTTCGTCAGATATGACTATTGGGACTATGATCAGGTACGTGTACATGTGAGGTTTGGGAGAGACTTACCATGTGAAGATTGCATGATTAGGTATCATTCATTAGATGAGGGAGGGTAGTATATGAAGATACGAATATGAGTAGTATGTGAGAGTAAAGTGAAAGTTTGGTTGGAAAGAAAGTGAGACGCGTGATGGCGATGACCTCCACCATGGTGTCTTTTTCCTATAAGTTACTCTGGTATCCCACTCATGGTCTATGGCTAAATAGCCCCTCTTGGTATGACCGAAAGATCTCACAGAACAGGCAATAGATGTAGATGCATGTCATGCAAGACGAGGAAAAGTATGTATCGTGACCCAACATTAGTATACCATGAACAACACATCTCCAAAACAACGTCTCATCACCTCGATCACCGTCCCTCTTGACCCCTCTGACCTCTGATACTGTGATGTGATCATTCGTGGTCGATGAAGAAGCTCCAATAGCTCCCCTGATTGTGAACTTAAAATGAATTCGCCAGCATGAAGTATGAGCTCGCAAGCATCAAGCTGTATTCCTATTCTGTCCGTTTTCAGGAGTGTCATCCGGTCTCCTGAACACTTCCCAAGCCTTCTTACACCTCCTCTTGAACTGATCAGGTAGAAGCATGATAGCCATCACCACTATCATCCCCACCATCAATATCGTCATCACATCTATACTCCCACTTCTTATCGAGAACAATCCCTGTAGTGCCTCCAAAGCGCCAGTCCAATCCCTGGCGCAGAGAGCGATGATAAGTTCTACCAGCCCTTGACCTGAATGTGTGTTATTCGATGGCGCAGTTCCAATTGAGGAGTCATCAACATGAGAAGCTTGTTCCGTTCTGACATTTCGGGGATTCTGTTCTTGTGGAGATTGGAAGGAGACCACGGTAGGGGAGTAGAAAACCGATGGATCGTATCGTAATCCCAAACCGATAAGCACGGCAACAGCGACTACTTGTTCCAACGGACCGAATACCCTTCCAGTCAACATCCTACGATCTCATACCATAATCATGCCTCTCCGCTCGCAATGATACACATCACCAGAGTGCGATGCGATTGGCGGATGTTGACCGAGATGGGACATGATGGAAGTTGGACGATAAACTCACTGATCTTTCCCACTTGTTGCCCAAGCCATGGCCGATTCCGCTCCTATTTCATACCACCGACATATCTCTGTGACCTGAGCACGAAATGGAATGTATTCTTTGATAGATGGGAATTGTATCTTGGGCAAAGTGGGAAGTCGAGGGAGAGGGGGAAGTAAAGCGGTCAGAAAGCTGAGATCCATTGTTTCTGTGGAGTGAGACAATCGTATGTAGACTTAGTAGTGTCGATTTAGTGGGATGAGGAGGGGTCAGTAGCTCATATATGCCCTTTTCCACGTCCATGAATTGCTATTTTGATGATGGAGAATGATACAAGTGGTCGTCAAACGACGAGGGGGGCGGTCATGTTGAGTGCTTGAGACGTGGCGAAGTTCATACCTCTCTTCATCTCGGCCAATACGAAGAAAGGAGTGGGGGAGAGAGAGTACATAGCATGACGAAATGCACTCTTTTGTGTTCGATTTTCGTAACGGAGCGACTCTCGACGTCGGACGCCTACTGGTCAACAGCACAAGTAGACCCCTCGATAGGCCTGCCAGATTGGAGCGCCTGCCGGCTCCGCCCAAACCGGATCGCAAGTACGAGTACTTCTACCGTATCAATTCATCATAAAGTACTTCACTCATACGACGACCTCTATGGAATATCCGGAGAGCTATCTGTAATCGCAAGCATTCACGGCACACAGGTTAATGTATAGCATTGTGACTCCACATCATCTCCCTCCGATTTGACGGCCGGAAGCGGCGGGAAAGAACATTCCGCCGTAACCTGGGCCCTGGCGAGAGAGGTGAAAATTGAATACATGATCCTGGACTCTTCGAGAGCTGTGATCCTGTCACGCATGTATTCTTTTAGCTCCCCATTGGGATCGTATTCGAACTGGATCGAATATCCCGGCTGGACCTTGAGTTCAGGTTCATGTCGCAAGACATACATGACAGATCGGAACAAAGCGTCCGTCACGCTGAACGGAGTTGCGTCAGACCAAGAAGGGTGACGATCTCGAAATTGAGCCATGACAGTCTTATACAGGTGGACTACGGCTAGAGAGGGACACGATGATTCGGTGTCGGTATCATCGGGATCGTCGGTGTAGCCGCAACAATCCCAAGACTTGGGAATTTGCCCGCCTTCCTCGCTATTATGTGCACTTGGGTCGAATTGATAGACAACTAAGTGAAGCACGTTCTTAGGAAAGGTGTCTTCCAGAGATGCCAGAGAGTCCTGAGAAATCCGACCGAACACGAAATTTTCCCAGTTGATTGATACGGTTGCCGGATGAAGGTCGGCATCTTTTGTAGAGGAGGATTGTTCGATGGACGATTGTTCAATTGTCAACATGTTCATTAGCTCTAGATCGAGGTGAAGGTAGATTGAGGGGGATTAGGGTATAGGTGTAAGTACCCCATGCTTGTTATTATGTGGGATAGAGAGGTGTGAGAGTGTGACATCATGAACTCACTTTATGATTTGAAATTCCGACTTGCTATACCACCTAAGGTCTCCAGACCAAAATTTGAGATTCTGACTGACGTTTCCTTCTACGGTTCGTCATCGTTTCTCACACGATGAATTAAGACGGTAGAAGACCATTTCGTAATCTTCACTTCCCGCTAGATGGACGTATGACGATCAAGCGTCGTAAGTCACTACCTGGTCAGCTTCTCCATTCATCATCAGGGTTGAAAAACGAAGTCTGGAATTTTGCTCACTTCTGACAGGGGTGAGGAGATTACGCATCCTGCTTCCTCCTATCGGTTTGCTCCACATGTCTTCTAAATCTCCTCAAATGACCTAACACTTTGTGTTGTAGAACCATCGTTTTTCCCACGACGTTGTGTGAATGACGTACGGGGTAAGATGTGGTTCCTACTCGGCCTTCCTATTCTCCACTCGAAGTGTGACGCGGGGTGCCAATGTCGAGACAGATGCAGAGATTACCATGGTTTCTAGCTCATCAGCGGAACTGAAATGGCAAGAGCTTGATAAGAAGAGAGACTGACGATATTCGGGTATGAGAACCGTGATCAAATGGCATGCCATCGCCATCGCCATTGCCCTGAGAAGTTTAGATGGTAAACTGGAAATGGTCAGCTGTTTCAACCCAATCACGGACAATTGCCACTACGATCAAGCTGATACCTTCCCGCATTCCGAATCAAAGTCAAGCAGAAGAGATATGTTGATCCATGCTTGAGAACCTGAACTTGTCCGATGTGATCATATCCTAATCGTCCGTCCCTGTCGCGTACGGCAGTACACCAAATCCTAATCTCAGTTTCTGAGTCTCCACAAACAATAATTGCAAACTTTCACCCATTAGGCGGTCCGGCTGACGGAGGGTATCTTCAAGTATGATCGTGTATCCCCACAGGTCCGCATCGCCAACACAGAATCTCAACGGCCTGTTGAAAGAATGACACGGTTCCTTGAGGTGAAGGTGAGAGATCTGCCCTATGTTCAGCAACTTATGTCCATATATCCGTCATTAACCCCCAGGGATGACTTATTGTGGTGAACTCGTATCGTGGTACAGTAGTATATGGAAGTGGGATGGAACGAAAGCCGGCAGGATCGGGTAATACAGCAACGTACATCGTTTTGGACGGGTCGGGATTTGTCTGACCGGAAGGAGCGCGAGAGCACTCGTACCTCGTAGAATCTGTCATGAGGAGGTGATAAAAATGTGGACTCGAAGTGGGGATATTTCAAAGGTTCGAGGTGGATAAGGTATGCCGAGACGTTCGGGTCTGTAAATCTTGGTGTCAGTGGTCCATCGACCAATCGGGAGCGAGGCTCGAGGCGTTTCAACTCACATCCATTATCGCCGACATCGTTCACCCGGTTTCCCACCTAACACTTGAATACATTGCTGAAAGCTAGTGGACTGAGATAAGTGTATGTTTGAGACTGTGAAGGGCCTTTACTAGAAGTCGAGTAGTGCAAGTGCCAGGAGGTGGAACCCCAACAAATAGGCTTGCAGGTCAGTTACACATGTCACGTTTTGTAAGAAGACAAGTACTGTCCCGTGAGATCACACGATACCAGTACTGATAGCAACAATCAGCAGGACAGAATGTTATTGGCAGCAAATAACTCTGCTTTCGAGGTCGTCCAACTAGAGAAATCTAATATGATTCCATATTCATGAGCCAATCTCCTATATACTATCACGTCGCGTAGAGGAAGAAAGTGACCAATCGTCTTGAGAGAAATGACTAGAGATGATTATGTTTGAAAGGAGAAGGTTAAAGATTCAAGCACTAACCTGTGAGAGCCACTCCGATAATCTCCTTGGCCTTGAAATCCTCAGCATCCCTCAGTGTCCCCTTCAGGTCATGGTTTAGCTGGATTTGGTCGGCGAGCGCTCAGCGCCATGATCACCTGTGGAGGTCTCGGTGTCTCCAGAGTCAGCGACATCACTGATCTTGGGAGAGTGTGTAGCACCATTGCCCTCAGAAGCATCCACACAAAACTCCTCTCCTACTTTTCTGGCTAATTCCAGAGTCGCGGGATCCACTTCGGGACGTTCTTCTAGCCGGAAATTGTGCAAATAAGCATTCCATTTCTTGCATTCTGAACCGTCGCGATCGGCCACGAAACAGAAATGAAACGAGGTATCGCTGATGCTGTTGGCTAACTCTCGAGCAATCGGCCTTGCCACATCGAGAAATTTGTCATAGGTTGGTAGAGGAGAAGGCAGAGATAGGCTGATACTGGCCTGAAACGTCTCTATCAGATGGCTCAGCTGTGTAAGATATCGGTTGTGCCCGTATGTGAGTGCACCGGATCGCCGAACGCTGGGTGAGAAATGGGTTATGATCCACACTGTTCGGACGATTATGGGATTGGCGGTCCCTGCGCCTTCAGGAACGTATTCGCCGGTGAGGGTATCGTCCATGTTAGTTGTAAGCGAATCTTAGAGGTTCCTATTTATCCTACGCCCAGGCTCGAACTCGAACATCGTCATAGTTTCTTCTTTTCTGCCGATGAAATTTGCTCCACTTCCTCTAGACCACATTCTCAAGATTTAGAAACTATCTCCTTCATCTCTTCAACACTGCCTTCACACTTTGTCACGAAATGGCCGAAGGCGGTGCGAGATTGTCCTTCTCTTTCGAGCCTGTGAGTTTCGGGCAGTGTACGACACGTAGAAGTTTCGTGTGGGGACGGGGAAGAGAATTCGAGTTTTGTGTGTCATAGTGTTCGCATGATCCGGCCGAGATTTACCGAAAGTGGGTGAATCTATCTCATGAGTAGTGATCAGCATCACGTTTATTTCTTTCCACGCTTAGCATACATTGTCAATGGTAGTTTTCAACCTGTGAGAGAGATCAGAAGATGATAAGAAGGAAGAGATAAAGATGATAACATAGTAAGACTATTGAGAAGCTGGAACATTAGCGACTATCGCGATCTGGGGAATATCGAATGAGACAAAACTCACATCTAACAACTCGAAGAATCCAATAGAGGGCGGGTACAGTTAGCGGAATGTCAACGTGATCTGGAGGCGACTTTCGAACTGGTCATGGTGATGCTAATGGCTTGTATGTTGATTAGTGAGACAAGAGAAAAAGCATCAGATAGAAAGAGGGATGGAGAAGTAATGTGGACGACGGAGTTTATCGGATGCCTAATTACGATTCGTGGTGGCGATAACTTCAACATTGCATAGCATGGTGAAAGACGGTGTAGGATGAGAAGGAGAGGGAGGAACTTCGTATGGTCGTTCTTGTCATCTTTGTTCTTTAACACATGCTTACATGAATGTACACATTACCCATCATTACCGGAGCTTGATCTCATTCCCTTCCAAGCATACCTCTACCGTCCCTTGCCTCTCAGATCGATGTACGATATATAAATACGAAAGAAATGATGCGATCTCTTTTCGAACAGGATCAATGAACATTCTCAACGGTCTATGTTAAGCGTTAGCGACTCGGAACACCGTCATCAATTGGTGTCGCCGCCGTTATCAGGCTCCTCAATGAAGACAAATAAGTTGCAGAGATAAAACATGATCATGAACAAGTAAGTCTACTGCGTCCCTTGGTCATGTCCATCAGTAGACGATTCGACCGCATTCCCTGTTCTTGTCCCATCACCTTCATGGAACTCGTACCCTGGGTCACTCCGGGGTATATGTCTTCGGGTTATTGCCAACGCTGAGTCTCCCCAGGTTTCGTCTCCTAAACCCGTTATAGCCCACTCCTTTTGCTCGAAAAAGACACCATTGGGGGTGCCAGATTCCTCCAGATCGTGCCTAACATGTCGCAGCATATGGGCTTCGCTTGCCATAGCAAGGTGGAGTATCGCAGTGCCAGTGCTATCATGGTGAAGTCGCAATGTCAACTTGGACCGACAAATTTTCGAGACCTGTTGCGCAGCTTCTAGAGCCAGGTCCTTCACTGTCTCCTCGGAGTTGCCAATGAGTGCAGTAGAACAAAGAGAGTTCTCCCAAATGTGTAGAGCGGACTTTGGCGTTTTCTCTTCGTCCGAGAACCAAGCGATGTGTGTATTGTTAGTGTCAGGAATGTGAGTGACGACAATGTCAATCATCGTGCCATCATCCGATGCCCTGCTGCCTGAGGTTACTAAAGCAAACTGGAGATTGTCAGGAAGACCTGTGGGCGACGGAAAGGATTTTAGATATTCCGTCGTCACCGCTTCTTCGTCTCGAGTTTGGTTCTTGACCATCTCAACCAAATTGTACACTATGATGATAGTGCAATCATTGTTTCCCCGGGACTCGGAGGAAGAGAGTTCTTTCTCCGCAGCTAACTCGAGCAATTGTATCCTCTCTGCCGCCGTCTTGTCTCGACGACGCATTATGGGCAAGCTGGCCTCTTCGAAGGCCGCCAAGACTCGCTCTCCCTCCACCGAAAGCTCGTCTGGGACTGTACTCAATCGAAGCGCAGGCCGTTTATGCTGGAGATATGTATAGTAGGCCAACACGATATTTTCCGGTGTAGGATCGGTACGTGTCGCTGGAACAGTCCGGAAAACCATATGGCTTGCCATGGTCGCTCACTTGCGAGTTGGATGAGGGGTATGATGAAGTATAAGATGAAGTATAAGATGGAGTATAAGATGAAGTATAAGATGAAGTGTAAGATGAAGCGTTCCGTATTAAAAAAGCTTTGCTTACTGAACGGACTGAAAGCGTGTGAAAATGTGAAAGTTCGCCCCGTTACGATTTCACAAATTGTCCGCTCCACCGCCACTCGCCATTGTTTCCCACCTACCCGAAGGCAGTGCTGAGATCTTCACCCCGCCCGAAGTCTTGGGAAAACGGACAGTTTACAACACGCTCGAGTGGTGTGAAGCGAAGGAAAGGGGAAGTGGCGTGGCGCGGCTTGATGGGCTATGCTTGTTCTCGCTGTATTCGTATACGGTCGGACTATCAATCCTCCCATTGGTATCTCCTCAGCTTCTGCTATACTGTTCGATAGAGAGGTCAAAGGGAAGGGGTTAGCATAGGTTTGGGCGAAGGGCGAGGGAACGGGGAAAGAACATGGCATCACTAAAAACAACCAGGAGCTGTCGAAGCACCCACAAAAGATTGAAGCTACACGGAAGGGGACAGCATTTACACCTAAGATCTCGAAGCTTCCTCCTGGGCAAATCTTTCTTCCACCTCTGCCCTCTCCACCTCCTCTTCCAGACGTATTCGTCCTTCCCTTTCACGAGTTCGGGCCCAAGCTGTACCCGCTATCAAAGCCACGGGATGTAGTACGAGACAGACGATGAGGGTCACCAGGAGTGCGGTCGGTTTTGGTAGGGCGGTAGTAGGAAGCGTTGGGTTCACTCGGGGGGAGGAAAAAAGAAGAGCAAGAAGAAGGTATTCAGAGGCGATGGTGAGGAGACTGAGGTGTAAGCTATCGATCCAAAATTCTTGATGAATGTTAGAGATGTTGCCCAGTGAGATGAAGAGCACTCTGATCAGGGCTAGTTGCTTACTAATTCCTTCTGATACCCTCCCAGATAGCAGCAACCACGTTGGCTCCTGCCACTACCCCGACAGCCCACCAGACCCACTTGTTCCTCTCCTGACCATCCTTCATGATCCATCCCAACGCCACGAAACCGTTATGCGCCCAGTCAAGTTCGAAGAGTATAGCGAGCAGCATAGTCATTGGGGCATGGATGAATAGAGCGTCGAGAGGTCTTTTCAACGTGACAGGGTAGTATAGCAATGTAAGGTGTATTGAGAGACTAATGGTCAGTTCAACTCGCCGTTCAGGGCCGAACGAACAGATTAATGAGGTTTAGTAAGATGACCACCTCCGCTCCGATGAAGAATTGCAGAGTCTATCTGTCAACTTTGGTCTACTGAATCTGTACTCTGTTTGACTCACCCAGCATACTGCCCAAGCGGCCATGAGCCAGTTGGCGATTGCGAATCGGACACCTACACCATGTACGAGAGTTTCCTGAGAATGAGCAGTGATCAAATTGAGACGGACCCTGTATGGTCGACACTCACTTTCGTCGCCTCCTTGCGAGCCATGAGCAGTATGAGACAAAACCCAACTTGACAGTCAGCTTGACTCGGGTAGAACAAATAGACAGCTGACTTTGCATGACATACAGCACAGCCCAGTAAAGACCAATCATGATCGAGTTGGGGCTGAGCAGGGTGGGATTGAGAGCGTTGATACCTGACAGTCCAGGTTTGATGGCTAGTGCGCACACCAAGTTAGCTCCCATAGACACCAGTACTGAGAGTCAGCCGTATAATCATCACCACGGTAGTAAGTGCGAAGTCAACTTGAGGAAGGGCGATGGGATGACCCTTACCTGATATGGGAACGGCGATTTGCAGCCTGACCAACTTCATCGACTCGCGAAACTGCGCTGGTGTGATGATATCGTCCGGCACATCGTAGCTTGACATAGTGACCCGGATGATAAAACAGTACCAGAAGGTAAGAGGAGATTTGAATGTGATGAGAGAGAGGGAAAGAGAGGCGGAGAGGGGCGTGTAGGGATAATCCCCCCACCTCTTGAATTATTTCCCCCGCATTTTTGCAATTCATCCGAAAAACCCCCCACTCAACCGGTTATTCACCCCACTCCTTCCACATTACCATCTTGGAAGCAGAAAAACCCCTCACTTGTTATTATAACCTCCTACCAAGGCTTGCTGCATATCTTCTAACCCCCAGGGGTTTACACTGTCCATAAATGTGCGAATTCGCAGCATTCGCGAAGGGGTTGTCTCTTCACAGTTGAATTCACATGTCATTCGCAGATCCATTCGCACGGACCCCGGGGATCAATCAACTGTCTTTTATTGGGCGTACTCATACTTTGAGCGCCTGGTAAACACTGGAGTATGCATATCTACACTTTCTGCATCTCCTCAGCTACGTTTTGCTCAGCATAACTCTTCATAACACTCATTCACACCTCATATCTAATTCGCAGCTCATATCTGATGACCCCACGGTCTTTAGCGCACCAACTTGTACTGAACGCTTCAGTTAAGCGAACACCTGGTCGACCAGCTCGAAAATACAAAGATCAGTCCCCAGGAACTCCCACAAAAGTTTCCAAGCGTCAGCTTAGTCAGGATGTTAGTCTAGGTAGGGGTAAACCTTTAGAAAAGAGAGACAACAGTGAGTTTATGAAATTCATTCGCGAATTATGTTATGCTGAGCCTGTACAGTAAAAGACCTTTTCACAGCTCAAGATACCTGTGATGTCCTGGACGCCTTTGAGGACTTCCCTTTTCACGGCTCTGAGGCTCATCAGCTTGAGCAGAAACAGCTGAAAAAACAACAAGCAATTGACAACGATTACATTGACAATGGTGGTGATATCCTTGAACAATTTCAGGACTCTGAATTCACCTTTGACCGACTGGACATGGAAGCAGATGTAGAAGAGGAGAAAGAGCAAGATAGACTGCTAGAAAAGGCCAAAGACGAAGAGCAAGAGGAACAGGGAGTAGCAACGGGGGCATGTTATGCGAATAACACTGCGAATCAGGGTAAGAGCTCTCTTTACAAGTTCAGGTGTCCAGATGCTGAGTCCCTTTAGTCTCTCCTTACCCTGCAAGGCCCCAGTCAATCCCCAATCATCCTGTTAGCAACATTCACACATCTCATATTCCCCATTCGCACTCGAGGAAGCGAAAATATGACTCTGATGGTGAGACCTTCTTCAATCACAGTATTCTGTTAACCTTTCGCAGTTGTGACACCCAATACCCGTGACCCAGACACTGAAACCGACACAACCACAACATATCTGCCCCCCTCTACATCAACGTCACACTTCTCAGGTTATGTGACAAGCATGTCCACCCTTTCACATCCTCCAAGCACGCAAAAGGTTAATTATACCTCAATTCGCGAGCAAGCTTTAAGGAATCGAGCTATCATTGAGATCGAAAGTACTCAGATTCCAATATCAATCCAGGAGCAGCAGCCATCCACTTTCAACACTGTACGCACAAAAGCAAGCCTTGGTCCTGGCATCACTGCAGTGAAGAACTTCTGTGTGCTTTCTGCGAATGATATTGGTCAGGATGAGCGTTACGAGGAGATCGAGGTAGCTTTCCACCTTATTCCTAAGGCTTTTGACATGATGGTGAGTTATTTATCACTGTGTTAAATGATACTGACATCCGTAGACACAGGATTACCTCCTCAGATCACAGAGAGTATCAGATCATATCAAGGTGGAGTGGTTAGATCCTCCAGGGCTTCACCCAAGTGACATTCGCGGACGTCACGCAGTCTTCCATGTCTCAGATGAGGCCTTCGCAAAGGGTCCTGATAAGTTGGTTTGGCGCTCGAGATTCAATTGCAGTGGTAGCTGCCAGCAAGTTCAAGCCCTACCTACCTCACTTCCAGCACCACAACGTCCAAAGAGAAATCTACGAAAACGACAGAGGAAAGAGGAAAGGAGTGAGGGACATGAGGGGAGTGAGGAGAGTGAGGCAAGGAATAGAAATGAAGGGATAGAGGGGGATGAGTGGGCTGAGGAGGATCAGGGGAGTCTGCAGGGCAAAGAGGATCCTGTGGAGACAAAAAGAACAACAATTCGCAAACGAAAATGCCCATTGTGTGTTGAAGTGAGTTATGACTTTTGTATAAAGATGAGTTAAGCTTATTTGCAGGTGCGAATGACTCCTAGAAGCATTCGCAGAGGATATTGCACAATTATCCAGCCATTACCTTCCTACCATGGGGATCCAAAACCTCTGAGCCTTCTCAGGATATCCTACCACATGCGCAATATCCTTCATGATGCTGCGACACTGGTCGGAACGACCGAAAGCCGCCTCAAGCTTCGATGGTTCACCAGTATCTCCAAGCTCCATCCTTATGCGACTTGGTTGTCTGACAATTGTCCTCATAGGATGCCCAAAGAGAGTGACTTTGCAACCGCCATACGGACAGCATTGAGGCAAGACAGACTGGACACTCTACCATTGGCAGCTATTCAAGTCCTCCACTCAGCAAATCCATCGACATTCCTGAGGTGAGTCACATTCGCAGAGCAGACTGGCCCCAGCTGACATCCAGTTGTGAAATCCCTCACGATCTTGTCCTTGGAGGAACTGAAGAGTTTCCCACCAATGCCACTTTCCAATGTGTGATCAGCCCCAAACACGCTCTGCAAACTGCAATTCGCCATGCTCACGAAAGGGGACTAGCCATGGACTCTTCTTGGAGGAACAAAAACGCTATTCGCTGTCCAGTCACCTTCCTCACCACTGTCAATGAGCACAATCACATGGTGCCAATGGCTGTAATGCTGTCAAATCATGCAACCACCGCGTCTTACACCCATCTCCTCTCTGTCTTTCGAAAAGCTGTGGAAGAGGAAGCAAAAGCTCTTGTGAATGGTACCTCAGAGGTCATCAGCGAATTTGAAGACAAGGAGATTGTCCTCAGTAATGCCATCCTCATTACTGAGGATGGCTTCTGGCCCCTCATGGTCATGATTGATTGTGATGCCGCAGAGCGAAACGCAGCCCAGACAGTTTTCCCAGGAACTCCTGTGCGTCTCTGTCAATTTCATTTCATGCATGCAGCAAGAGAAAGGATGGACAGACGACTTGGACGAACTCAGGTTGGTCGCGAGAAGACATCTAGGTTCCTCTCAGCCCTTCGAAAGTGTCAGAGGTGTGATGTGGAAGAGGAGTGGGAGGAAGTGTATGAAGAGTTTGAGGCAGATGTACTGGAGTTGTTGGACGGAGACGAAGAACATTGGGAGACCATTCGCACATGGTTGAATACTCAATGGTTCAGCGAAAGCTGGCGCAAATGCCTCATGGATTATGGTCTTCCTCGCGAACACACAAGAGATGGGCCGCTTTCTACCAACAACTTTGTTGAGGCAGCATTCAGGACTTTTGACAGAGTTTTCCTACAAGCCCGAGCCAATAAGCGAATCGATAAACTCCTTGCCGTTATTGTTAACATCTACTTTCCAATGTATCTCTATTCTCCCCCAACCTCTGGTCGATGTGATCCCGACATAACACAAGAGATCCAGAAGGGTCTTGAGATCTGGCAGCTGGGTCAGCTCAAGCATTGTGATTCGGAAGAAATACCCAGCAGCTTGGAGCCTCTTAAAGAAACCTTCACCATTGAGTCTGGCTTGCGAAAGCGAAACGCGCATTACTGTGGAATAAAGAAATCCAGTGATCGCGAATACTGCTCGTGTGGGTGGTTCCAGTCTAGAGGGAAGAGATGTCGAGGACTATGGGCTCTTCATTGTCTTACAACCTGTGGAGAGCTAGAGGCGTATGAAGGACAGACTGCAGCATATGCAACGGCTTTGCGAATGGGACCAAGGGAAGGGGTGGGGAATAAGGGAACCACTTCGGCACAAGTTGACCAGGAGGAATTGCGAAAGTGGTGGGGACACGATCCGACAGAACTTGCAGACCAACAGTGGGATACTACATCTAGACCCAGTGGCTGTCTGTTAGTCAGTATCGATTCAAAAGATCTTGATGCAGAAACACCAGCGAATGAGCAAGAAATCAATCCCCCCATAGGTCGACGACATAAAGCCATGCGTTCTGAGTCAGAAGAAGGCTGCGAGACCCCCAAGAAAAGCGAAAGTCAACCAACACAGCCCAACAAAGGTGGCCGGCCTGCTTCCAACAAGCCTCTACATCCGCACCGAAGTCAAAAGAAGAACAAGAGCAATATCCAGTTTCGTACTGAGCAGCTCCCCTTTCACGAAAGGCCAGTTGGGGCTAAGAACTACAACCAAACTTGTTTTGCTATCAGTTTGTTCCATATCATTCTGCGAATTCCATCCTTCTCAGCAGCTTTCAATGCTATCAAAGCCGAACTAAGGGTGGAAGTGTCCAGACTGGTGGTCATGCTGGAGAACTTCTTTGACTGTATCAATGTGTCACGAACTACGTCGTGACACCTCGATTATTCCACCAACAATGACCCTCCTTTGACCATCAAAACCCCCATCACGTCTTAACCTCTTTACTCTACACGTAACTCAGGACTTCTGAGACCAAGTACGGCGAAGTTAGACGGAGTTAGGCTAGGTAGGGACAATGGGAGCAGAAGTACGGCGAAGTTAGACGGAGTTAGGCTAAGTAGGGACAATGGGAGCAGAAGTGCGGCGATGTTAGGCGGAGTTAGGCTAAGTAGGGACAATGGGAGCAGAAGTACGGCGAAGTTAGACGGAGTTAGGCTAAGTAGGGACAATGGGAGCAGAAGTGCGGCGATGTTAGGCGGAGTTAGTCGAAGGAGGAAGAGGATGGCCGAGGGCTCGGGGAAGTTGGACGAAGTGCGTTGAAGTACGTCAAAGCGCGAGAGGGTTGGATGAACGTCTAGGAGGAGTAGATAATATTAGCTGAGAAGATCGCTGAAGTTCTTCAGCGATCCTTGATTGTTGTCAGTAGTAAAAGACAGATAGAGATAGCTATAAATCAAGATACATCGCCATCAGTAGATCAAAACCCTAGTTAGAGTAACTACGCCGAAGTACGCCGTAGTTACACCCCTTTCGACGTCTGCGCCCTCCTGGTTGGGTGAGACATCGACTCAGAGCGTGAAGTTAGCCGAGGTTCGTCGACCGTCGGTCTATTAAGAAGTAGTTGTTCGACGGCCGTGACAGTATCAAGGATCGCTCTTACCGACGACCCGTGCGAACCTCGGAGAAGTACGAAGATAATATGGAACCAGAAAGAAGAATTACACGAGGCATGAGTAGGGATGGAGACAGGATGGAGGAGAACGAGAGGAGAGCATTGGAGGAGCTTAGCAGAGCAATGGGGCAGGACCTTGGAGTTGAGGATAGTGTGGGGGGGTCAATTCAAGGAGATGAGTTCGTTCCACCGGTGCTTTCTAACCCTCCTTCTCCTCCGTCTAATGCTCTCCCACCTGTGGGATCCCCACTTGGATCAGACCAAACCCCACGCCCAAGAGAAAACACTGGAAGTACGGCGAACTTGGGAGAAGAAGGAACACAAGGGGTGGTGTTGGCCTTGATGCAGATGGTGGCGAATATGAACAAAGACATGATGGAGGAGAGAAGACGTAGGGAGGAATGGGAACAGAGAAGAGAAAGGGATACAGTGGGCGGGATTGCAGAAGGGATATCAGAAGGGGTGAGGTACGCCATGGGACGGCAAACTTCGGCGACCCCAAGCGTAGTGGGCGAACAACGGAAAGGGATAAAGCTACCTAACCCAGACCTATGGAGAGGAGATCGGAACAAGTTAACCGCCTTTCTGTCTGAGTGCGACGTACACTTCGAATTGAACTCTCATCTTTTCCCCGACGACACTAAGAAAGTCTTTTTCATGATCTCTCATCTACGCGAAACACCTCTTCTTGCAGTGCAGCCCGATCTATCCAAAAGACCTCTTCCTGAGTACCTCACGACACACGATCAGTTCGTTAAGTACCTCAAGACTAACTTTGGTGATCCAGACGAAGAAGGAACTGCGGCCCGACAACTTAACGACCTCAAGCAAACCGGGTCTGCTTCGGACTACTTCTCCGCCTTTCAGCGACATGTTGCGATTCTCAAGTGGTCTGATGATGGAAACCTAGTTGACCGAGCCAAGAAAGGACTAAAATCGCACCTTCTAGATGAAATCGCAAGACACGGTAGATCGTTTGGGACTGTAAAAGAGCTATTGGAGTTTGTGATTCCCTTGGACAACCGCCTGTGGAGGAGACAAGTGGAGAAGGAGGCAGAGAGGAAAAGGGAAGGAGGGATAAGGACAACGACAGTGGTGGAAAGTCAGAGGACGGAGAAGAAAGAAGAGAAGAAATGGGAAAAGGGGCAACCTTCGGCGCAGGGTGGTGCCCAGGCGGCTATGAGGTCGACGGTGGTAAAGAGTACACCGCCAAACATCGACGAAGTTCGCCGAAGATGGCCTAGGCCGAGCTCCGATCTGAGGGAGACAAGGAGGAAGGAGGGGAAGTGTACCGAGTGTGGTGAAGCAGGACATTGGCTGAAGGAATGCCCTGTAAGGGAGGCTAAGGTTAAGGTTGGACTGTTGCCTCCATGGGGGGAGAAGTTCGGAGAACGTGGTGGAGGATCGGGAGGGAACGCAGTACCTCTCGGACAGAGGAGGAACTTGAATGCGGTTGGAGGAGAAGTAGATTTGGAAGAGGACCAGGGAAAAGAAGAGGACCTGTCGCAGTAGGCGAGGCTCGGCGGGTCCGCCATATTGAGTTAGGCTAAGTAGGGACAATGGGAGCAGAAGTACGGCGAAGTTAGACGGGGTTAGGCTAAGTAGGGACAATGGGAGCAGAAGTGCGGCGATGTTAGGCGGGGTTAGGCTAAGTAGGGACAATGGGAGCAGAAGTGCGGCGATGTTAGGCGGAGTTAGTCGAAGGAGGAAGAGGATGGCCGAGGGCTCGGGGAAGTTGGACGAAGTGCGTTGAAGTACGTCAAAGCGCGAGAGGGTTGGATGAAAGTCTAGGAGGAGTAGATAATATTAGCTGAGAAGATCGCTGAAGTTCTTCAGCGATCCTTGATTGTTGTCAGTAGTAAAAGACAGATAGAGATAGCTATAAATCAAGATACATCGCCATCAGTAGATCAAAACCCTAGTTAGAGTAACTACGCCGAAGTACGCCGTAGTTACACCCCTTTCGACGTCTGCGCCCTCCTGGTTGGGTGAGACATCGACTCAGAGCGTGAAGTTAGCCGAGGTTCGTCGACCGTCGGTCTATTAAGAAGTAGTTGTTCGACGGCCGTGACAGTATCAAGGATCGCTGTTACCGACGACCCGTGCGAACCTCGGAGAAGTACGAAGATAATATGGAACCAGAAAGAAGAATTACACGAGGCATGAGTAGGGATGGAGACAGGATGGAGGAGAACGAGAGGAGAGCATTGGAGGAGCTTAGCAGAGCAATGGGGCAGGACCTTGGAGTTGAGGATAGTGTGGGGGGGTCAATTCAAGGAGATGAGTTCGTTCCACCGGTGCTTTCTAACCCTCCTTCTCCTCCGTCTAATGCTCTCCCACCTGTGGGATCCCCACTTGGATCAGACCAAACCCCACGCCCAAGAGAAAACACTGGAAGTACGGCGAACTTGGGAGAAGAAGGAACACAAGGGGTGGTGTTGGCCTTGATGCAGATGGTGGCGAATATGAACAAAGACATGATGGAGGAGAGAAGACGTAGGGAGGAATGGGAACAGAGAAGAGAAAGGGATACAGTGGGCGGGATTGCAGAAGGGATATCAGAAGGAGTGAGGTACGCCATGGGACGGCAAACTTCGGCGACCCCAAGCGTAGTGGGCGAACAACGGAAAGGGATAAAGCTACCTAACCCAGACCTATGGAGAGGAGATCGGAACAAGTTAACCGCCTTTCTGTCTGAGTGCGACGTACACTTCGAATTGAACTCTCATCTTTTCCCCGACGACACTAAGAAAGTCTTTTTCATGATCTCTCATCTACGCGAAACACCTCTTCTTGCAGTGCAGCCCGATCTATCCAAAAGACCTCTTCCTGAGTACCTCACGACACACGATCAGTTCGTTAAGTACCTCAAGACTAACTTTGGTGATCCAGACGAAGAAGGAACTGCGGCCCGACAACTTAACGACCTCAAGCAAACCGGGTCTGCTTCGGACTACTTCTCCGCCTTTCAGCGACATGTTGCGATTCTCAAGTGGTCTGATGATGGAAACCTAGTTGACCGAGCCAAGAAAGGACTAAAATCGCACCTTCTAGATGAAATCGCAAGACACGGTAGATCGTTTGGGACTGTAAAAGAGCTATTGGAGTTTGTGATTCCCTTGGACAACCGCCTGTGGAGGAGACAAGTGGAGAAGGAGGCAGAGAGGAAAAGGGAAGGAGGGATAAGGACAACGACAGTGGTGGAAAGTCAGAGGACGGAGAAGAAAGAAGAGAAGAAATGGGAAAAGGGGCAACCTTCGGCGCAGGGTGGTGCCCAGGCGGCTATGAGGTCGACGGTGGTAAAGAGTACACCGCCAAACATCGACGAAGTTCGCCGAAGATGGCCTAGGCCGAGCTCCGATCTGAGGGAGACAAGGAGGAAGGAGGGGAAGTGTACCGAGTGTGGTGAAGCAGGACATTGGCTGAAGGAATGCCCTGTAAGGGAGGCTAAGGTTAAGGTTGGACTGTTGCCTCCATGGGGGGAGAAGTTCGGAGAACGTGGTGGAGGATCGGGAGGGAACGCAGTACCTCTCGGACAGAGGAGGAACTTGAATGCGGTTGGAGGAGAAGTAGATTTGGAAGAGGACCAGGGAAAAGAAGAGGACCTGTCGCAGTAGGCGAGGCTCGGCGGGTCCGCCATATTCTCTCGGCCACCATTCCCAAACCCATAAAAGAAACACAGCTGATGGAGCCAGAGGATTGTGAATACAAAAATACACCACTCAGTACCCCTTGTTCATGCAATGTCGATAATCATCTCCTCATCCCTTCCGTTTCCAGAGATCAACCTAAATCGGACATTTTCATTAATGGAATGAAGCTAACTACGCTCTGGGACACCGGGGCTACTTGTTCATATATAAGCCCTAGAGCGGCGACGAAGATAGGCGCAGAAAGGAGACAATATCAGGTGAGCGTACCCGTTCACATGTTCGACGGCTCGGTGAGTGTCGCTGGACCCATCACCGAGTTTGTCGAAGTCGGATTTAGTTTGACGAAGGACGCCGAAGTGCGATCTGTTTGTCTCGATGTAACAACGCTCTGCGACGCAGATGTTGTGATAGGGTGGGATTGGATGAGGAAGGAAGGGGTTGTCCTTGATGGAAGAGACAACTCGGTGAAATTTCCCATCCCAACCCCACCAAGTGCGGCGAAGTTAGCGGCCATAGGGCTGCCGACTCTGACGGACGCAATAGACCGCCGCGGCGAAGATGAGCTTGAAGAGCTGAGCCCGGAGGAACAAGACGAGTTGTTCAAGGTA